TTAGTGGGTATTCACACATTGCTCAAGGAAGAAAGGCAAGAAAAGCAAGAAAAGTGGGAGGGAGAACCAGGGTGCCCTGGTATTTGTCCGGGAAGCGAGACCACTCTGAGCTACCGTGAGAGACAGCTGAGCTTTGGCTATGTCACACCTCTGCAAGGTCAGCCTCTTACCAGTGTCACCTCGCTGTGGCCACCATCCCACAGTGGCTTCCATTCCCCCCAGGGCTCAGGGCCCTCCTGCTCCCAGGAGCTTCTTTTTGAAAAGAAATCCTAACAGGCTTTGCACACTGGACACTCCCACCCGCCCACACCCCCCTCAATTGCAGCTGCAATCCCAAAGCAAATGCCTAGAAAAGAAAACATTTGTCCAAATAAGTGACTACTCACAGAAGGTATTTTAGGTGCTGGGGAACTGGATGGTTCATTTCAAGACAGAAATGTCTCACAAACCCAGACAGAAGCCCGTTCCCATCACGCATTACTCTGGCCCATCATGTAACCACTGTCAGCATGGAGGGAAGAGGTAGAAGAGTGGAGCCCAAGTCCCTGGTAATGGCTCCTGTCGAGGTACTTGCCCCACACCAGTGTCCTCTGCCCGGACTTCCCGCCTCCCCTGCCCTACTCTGCATTCCTGTCTCACGGCCTGGACCCTGGCCGGGAAGCGCTCCCTCCCTTGGGTGAGCACTGTACGACTTGCTCCAGGTCCCTGGGGCACATGCCCTGCCTCTATCAGGGAATGGGGCTGCCCCCATCAGGACATCAGGACAGAACCCGGTATGCAGTGAAGGGCCTGGACACCCTCGTCTGTGAGTCAGCAGAGAGGAACCTGGCTCTCTGCAGTGTCAGGACACTCAGGATTTCAGAAAGGTGCCTTTTGTCGCATGATCCTGTCTCACACCTTTATACCTTACAGGCAATTCTCTGGGGGACCTTTGTGGTCTCTCTTCTTCCCCCTTTGAGGCCTGGTTGTGCCGGGTCAGCAGATGAGGCTCAAATTCTGTGCTATGGACTCACAGCGTTTCTGTCTCCCTCGTAGGCTCTATAACTCTTCCCCAGAGAGCAGACCCTCCAGGAGCCAAAAACAAAGGCACTGATGCAGGGAGGGGTTGTGATAGGAGAGGGGAAATCTTCAGGGATTCACTCCAGAGCACAACAAGCTGGTGTGAGGCAGGAAGATGGAGGGAGTGGCCCACGTCGTCTTTCACAAGCACAGACACTGCTGCTTCTCCTGGCTGGGTCTGCGTACTGCTCCTTTGCTTTGCCTGTGGAAGGAGCCGCCTCCTGGTCACAGCCACCTGTCTGGACTCCAGAGACCCATTAGCAGAATGAACTCGGGAGGACAGGACTCCTCTCAGGGACGCAGTGTCCTCCCGGGGACGCTGTCCACTGCTCTGCTCAGGTGGCAGTGATGGAAGGAGACCCTGGCTACCTGAGGGAAAGGCATGCGCACAGGCCTAGAAAGCCAGCTGCCCGGAGACACTTTGCACCGCGCAGTGGGTGGCAGAGCGGGACTCCATCAGGAACCCTGGAAAATCATGGCACCGGAGGCGACCCCAGGGGTAGCAGACGCCTCATCTTACAGGAGGGGAGACAGGCTGAAGTCATCCTGGAGGATTGTTCGGGACAACACAACCCCGGGAGCTTCAGCTTCATACTTTCACCCCACCCCGCAACCTCCTGCGTTCTGCCGTGAAACTGAGCAACAGGTTATAAAATACTTTTCCAAAAACCTCAAGCTAAACATAAACTCATGCTTTTAATCGGATTGTATGTGGAGGATGGTATGTGTGTTAAGGACAGAGCGACACATTCTGAAAGCAAGCGGTGATCCCATAAATTAGATACTGTTTCCTAGAAAACAAAGATTTGTCTGTCTTGTAGAGGGCTGTTGTACTGGTTTAGATTTGTTCTATGTCTTCGCCTGTGTTTTCTTCTGCCTGGAATGCCCTCCCTCTGCTCACATCCTGGGCAGCTCCTGGGTATGAAAAATACGCCCTCCTCTGCCTGTGGTGGTGGGCATGGTGGAGGAGCAGGAGGGAGTGCTGGGCTCTCCACCCAGGCGGTGGCTCGAGGCTTTCTCTAGGCTTCCAGAAATCTCCTTTCCAGCTTGGAGAGAACTCGCTGTGCTGTGTCACTCCTGTTTGTGGGCTCAGCCCCACTGCTCTGAGAAGAGGCTGCTTGGCTTGCCTTTGCATCCTGTACGTAGGACTCCCGGGCTGGGAGTCAGCCCTGGGGGTGACCACGTGTCCTCAGTCAGAGGTCTCTGGGAGGCACGGACTCCGAAGGCAGACACTGGACTGTGGCTCTCGCTCTGCCAGTCGCCAACTGTCTCTCAGGTTCAGTTTCCTTTTCTTCAAAACAATACCAATTTTTGGAAGTTACAAAATACACAAAGCACTGTGAGGACTAGCAGAAACTAGTGACCAGCTCAGATCACCCTTCAAATAACTCAGATATTGGAATTATCAATAAAAATTTTCAAATGACCACAGACAATCTGCCTAACAGAATAAGAAGACTAAAAATGTGAGTTAAACATATCATGTGAACGTCCATTTAAAAGTGAGCAGGTTAGAAGTTTCAACTGTGAAATAATTAAAATTTAAAACTCAGTGATGGGCTTAATGGCACATTGTACATAGGCAGAGAGAATCACAAAACTGGAAGAGATAAGTTTGAAGAAATTAACCAGGAAATAGGTGAGACACAGAGAATGCAAGATTTGGTCTGAGACCCCCGGAATAGGCCTAACGATGCCTCACTTCCGCTTCAGAAGAAGACAAAGATGGCAAAAAAGAAACATGGCTAGCGGGATTTTTAGAACTCAGAAAAGGCAAAAATCACATAATTTTTAAAAGATAACATTTATGTTTTTATGACTTTAGAGTAGGGATAATTCCTTAAGTAAGACAAAAAGTATAAGGCAAGTGTACCTACTTTTATTGAAATATTTCTATTCCTCTGAAGACAACAGAATAAAAAGGTAACCAAAACTATAATAAGGATGCAGGATATAAGATTAATATACAAAAGTCAAGTGCTCTAAAAAAATTCAGTACATAAAAACAGACTCGCTGACAAACTAGAAGATATTTACAGCATATACAATTTTCACAGCATCAGTATACAGAGTATATAAAATACTTTGCAAATCAATAAGGAGATGACAATGGCACAGAAAAATATTTAGACAATAAAGACAATGGCCAGACAGGCATTTTAAAGAAGAAGAAATACAATCAGTTAACACATATGGGAAGTTCAATCTTAATAATATTGTTGAAATGCAAATTGGCTGCTTGTGGCTATATTTGAAAGGCTTTAGGACTGCAGTCTTCAGAAATTCTTTTAGTCTTAGCCTTTCATTCACATTTAACAGATGAATTCCTTACCACAAACAATAGGTGCCACCGTAAAACCTAGACTCAGCCGAAACCTCTGCTTTTTGATCTCTCTTCAGGTTTGACTGTGACCCCCATTCCTTTGTAATACTGAATGGTTGGATTGGGTTTGTTTTGATTGATTTTTCTGTATCTCTGTATCAGTATTGCTGAAATGAGACTGAATGAGTGGCCTCAGGTACTTTGCTTAATCTCTTAATGGAGAGAGAAAGGTAAAAACATTTCCTTCCTTTCTCTCTCTCCCTCGCTCCCTCCTATCTCTGTCTCCGTCTCTCTCTCTCTGTCTCTCTGCCTCTCTGCCTCTCTCTCTCTCTCTCTCTCTCTCTTTCTTTGCTGGGGAATGAACTCAGGGCCTTCTCACTGAGCATCCAGCCCTTTTGGGACAGGGTCTCTAAGTCACTAAGTTGCCCAGGGTAGGTTCAGACTTATAACCCTCTTGCTTCAGCCTCCCAGAGTGCTGGGATTACAGATGTGTGCCACCTCCCCTGGTAGGAAAAGCATATTAATTGGGCTTCCACCCTCTGCCATGTCCTCTCACCTCCGGACCACTGCCATGAGGGAACATAAGACAGCTGCCATTTCCTAGCCAGCAGTCAGAGACTCATCCCAATCAAGGCCTCACAGCTGGCATTTACATCAACACCCGTCCCTACGTGATAGAAAATAACTTCTAAAAAGTGTCCACCACACCTAGAGATTCTGATTTCGGTAGTCTTTGAAACTTCCCTGCACAATTCAAAACACATGGCCGAGGCTGAAACCACTGGTTTACTCAGTTCTAGTTCTTCGCTACCAAGAGAAAGGAGGGCTGGGCTTTATCATTCTCAGCATTCAACCAAAACATTATGTCTTCCTACAAAGAAGAATCTGTTGGTCTGTTTTGTCTGTCAGTGTCTCCAACGCCTAGAACAACATCTGAAACAAGCACACACTTAAGATCTGTAGAGGAAACAAAGTGGATAAGCAGTCGCCTGGATCTGGTCTCACAAGATCGCATCCCATGCTGTTGTGCCCCCAGCCGGGCTGCCGAGGCCTCGGGCAGCAGCCCTTCAGAGCAGCTTGTTCACCGACACACAGTTGGGCTTGCTGCTTCTCTTCCAACAGCCACATGCCAAAAGTGAGGAGGAGCAGGGGAAGTAACTTTAATAATCTTTTATTTAACAGAATGTACTTGGGATGCCATCTGAATGTGGATCAATACAAAATCATTTTTACAACTTTATCGAGGTATTCATTGATATAAAGTTCACCCAAGTGTAAAGAACGTTCGATAAACTATTTTATATTCATTTTTTTCAGGCCAAATCTTTGTGATCTTCCACACACATCTCCTCTGAACCAGGCACGTGCATGCAGAAGGCCCTGTAACCCCACGTGGCCAGGGGCTGCTGCAGTGCACAACAGTGTTCCAGACATGGGGTGGACAATAAACCAGCAAACAGATAAATAACTACAGTGGGTACAGCAGAAAGCCTAAGAACTGGCAGCCAGCAACCGAATGATTTAAAAAATTTAAGAAAAATAACAGCGGAAAAAGTACCTGCATGTCCTGGCACAGGAAATAGAGCACCCGTCTTTGGCTCAATTCGAAGATCCTTACCTTCCCAGAGATGAAATTTTCTTTCTTTCTTGTTTTCAAAATTGGTAAGGAAGTCAAACTCTGTTTCCTCGGCTTTTTAGCATCCATTTTAGTCCTGTGGAAGGGAGAGTAAACAATATTAATTTATTACATTAAAAAGGCTTAAAATATAAGTAATGGCCCACGTACTCAGGGATGGACGAAACCAAGGCAGGCTTGAAGAAAAGAAGGTGCAGGCCTCAAAACAGGATCTTTGCTCCTCCTCTGCTTACTTCTGGTGCTCAGAGGAGGGGAGGAGGGCAGCAGCCAGGGAGGAGGAAGAGAAAGTCAGTGGTGAGCCAGTGAAGAAGAGAGCAGTCAGAAGATCCTTCCGTTTAGCTCACTGTAAAACACACACCATTCTCTTGCAACAAACACACCATTCCCCTTCCGTGTGGATTGTACTGCAGGGCTGCTCGCATGGTTTAAGGACTGCAGAAGATGAGAATGGGGAGAGTTGTTAGAAACGCCTCACTCAGCCAGCCGGCACTCTCTTCATTCTGAGCACAGCTTTGTAGCCGCGGGCCGAGCCTGAAGATGGCCCTCCGTCTCCTCCCTGCTCCCTTTCTCCTCCACAGATTAGATTGTCTGGCTCATACTGTAGATCCTGAGGCACAGCCCCAGAGACAGTTACATTGGATCCTTCCCCATTCCCTTCCTGCACGTGCCCCATCACAAAACAAACACACTAAGTTCCGCCTAGGCCATGAAGGCCACATGCACTACCTGCCCCGCCTTCTCTTCCTGCCTGCCTTCTACTAGGAATAAAGAGCGCGCAGTGCCGCAGGCGGCCCTCATCTCCCAATGGCTGCAGTCCCACTGGCCCCAGACTGTAAGCATAATCATGGTTTCTTCCCATCTTCATCTCCCACCGCTTTCCCTGGATTTTGACCCTACACTGTTTGGCCGGCACTCAATGAGTAACTGGCTCATGGCAGGAAGAAACCTTGCAGAAAAGCGCAGAGCCTGGCTAAAGCCTTGGTTTCTGAGCAGATGGAGAGTCCCCGAGGGCCCTCTGGACAGGGCGCTCCTTGTCGCATCAGCAGAGCCCGCTGGAGTCCCCTCTGCATCCTCGAAGTCCTTTTCCAGTTTCGGGCTGTAGCAAGAGTTGAGGGAATGAGCAAGGGTCAACGTGAGAGCCACCTAGGCCTCTGTAGTTTGCCATGGTGAGAGCTCACCAAGCCTTGCAGCGGGACAGCAGCCCCACAGTTTTGGAATGATCCAGAGAGAGGACTGAAGACGTGTGAACTTCTATCATAAAATGATTGTGAAAAATGAGAATTTACTTTTCACACAGAGTAGGAAATTAAAAATATGGCACACATGCGTTTTGTAAAACGATGCAGTCATCTTACAAAACTAAGGTGCATTATGTGTACTCAAAATATACTGAGCAAAACTCAGTGTTATGTTATTACATATTTAATAAAATGTTTTCACGCCACCTGCCTCGCAAGCACAAGGTCCCAAGTTTGATCCACAGTACCCCCCAAAAATGTTTTCATGTCTTTAGACACACATATTGAAAGATCTTGAAGAAATAAACTAAAAAGCAATTATCTCTGAGGAGTGGGGGTGGGGAGGCAAGTGGGAATGTTAATTTTTTTTCTTTATAAGATACATCTTGTGTTGCTGACCTGGATGGCCTGGAACTCCTGGGCTCAAGTGATCCTTCTGCTTCAGCTTCCAGTGTAGGCTGGAACCAGCTTTGTGGTTCTTGCTGGCATGCCCAGCTACTGTGGGAATGTTCATTGTAAAACACACACACACACACACACACACACACACACACACACACACACACACACACACACACACACAAAATACCCTATGTGACCATAAAGAAAAAGTAATTCTCTGCTAATAATGAGTTTCACTTCTTCTCTTTCCTTCCTTCCCTTCTTTCTTTCCACAAACATTTGCTGAGACAATTCTAAATCAGTCTCTGCCCTCTAGAGGGCTTGTGACTTTAAATAGTTTAATTCATCCAAAAATGTCAGAATACACACACACACACACACACACACACACACACACACACACACACACAAACACACACACACAAAATACCCTATGTGACCATAAAGAAAAAGTAATTCTCTGCTAATAATGAGTTTCACTTCTTCTCTTTCCTTCCTTCCCTTCTTTCTTTCCACAAACATTTGCTGAGACAATTCTAAATCAGTCTCTGCCCTCTAGAGGGCTTGTGACTTTAAATAGTTTAATTCATCCAAAAATGTCAGAACATCAACTGCTAGCAACTAGGCAGTCCACGATGCAGACAGCAGAGTCCTTGTGCTCAGGGTGTTTGGGTCTGGAGGGCAGGGCTGGCGCACAGCCGTGGTGCCATATTATAGCACAGCAGAGTATTTCAGACAGGCGTCTTCTCATATACAGCACCCCAGTGTTCAGAGAGGAAACGCATCCCTGAGATGTACTGTCAGGCCTCAGTGATTCTACTGTGACATCGCTATGCCTGGGGGATGCCTTGGAGCACACGTTGCGGCAGTGTGAGGAACAGTCAGGACCCCACACACAGTTTTTTTTGAGACAGGGTCTCACTATGTAGTTGATACTGACCTGGAACTCACTTTGTAGCCCAGGTTAGTCTCAAACTCACAGTGATCCTCCTGCCTCAGCCTCCCGAGTGCTGGGATTACAGGCGTGTGCCACAATGCCCACCCCCCCCAATTTCTTCCAGGAGAAGCTAATGTAAGTGCCCTTCATTTGTGTCTCTTCTGCCTGTGCCTTTGACAATCTCCACGGTCTGGCGACTCACAGGCTCAAGAGCTGGAAGAGGTTTTACGAAGCTTTTCATCTATCTTCCCATTCTAGGCAGAAGTCCTCTCTCCAGTTCCCCTGAAAATCACCTGTCTGTGCTGGAATATTCCTCAGGCAGTGGAGTTCATCCGGGCAGTCTGTTTCACACTCAGCTGTTAGTGTACCCAGGGTTGGTGCGTGGTAACTACTGGCAGCAAGAATGATTGAGGAAAACACTCTGCACCAATCCTGGCTGTCCTCTGCACAGCGAGTTCTTCAGTGTTCACAACTGGCACGGAGAAAGCTTATTTCTCTCCCCTGTCCCTCACCTGCGTGTGCTGCCCACGCTGGGGACACAACTCAGTGGCAGAGCACTTGCCTAGCATGTGCAAGGCCTTGAGCTCATCCCCAGCACTGCAGGGAGGAAAAAGAACAGAAGAAAGCCTCCTCCTCCTCCGATGATGACTCTGGCTGGAGTCAGCCTGTGCTGCAGCTCCACTCTGCTCTCCACATCTGCTGCAGGTTGGCCTCCCCCAGGGTGGCCTGAGGTGAAGGCTCCAGTCCCAGGGCATGGTGTGCCCCTGCTGGAATTCCTCAGCAGGTGAGGCCGTACCTGCCCGCCACCCTCCAACAAGACAGGGTGTTTGCATGAGGCCTCAGTGAGAAGCACTCTGTGTAGACCCTTCCCACGGAGACGCATGACTGCACTGAGCTGGTCAGGTCGAATGGGGCAGTTATGTAAAATAGTCAAGAGGCCACACAGGGTCTGATGGGCTGCCGGACCCTTCAGACTCAGCAGAGCCACAGGTTAACTAGACTTCAACTCTCTGTTGTTGAGTGCCCCTGAAAGGAAAATGCTGCTGAGCCCCCCATATCCCAGCCCGGCCTTGTGTCCGGTGTTGACCTCACCAAGCAGAGGTGCCGGGTGGGCGGCGTGAGAGGTAGGCGGGGACAGACTGAGGCCGGGACACGAATATGTTGCGTGTCACAGATCCGCGTGTGACCACAGTGCCCCACAGGGAGGAGGGCAATTGGTGCCCCAGGCAGCTGGGGTCAGGGCTGGAAGCAGTTTCCGGTCGTTCTGAGGGGCTCCCTGCAGTCCTTCCTCCCTCGGCGGAGGGGGCACTGTGCCTTGGTGAAAGGGAAGGAACTGCCTGACCCAGGGACTACTCTGGGCTCCTCCCCCAGGCGCTCAAGCCCACCCACCTACCTCTGCCTTCCGTGGGCCTTTGAATCTCCTGCATCCCGCAACGCCGGAAGGCCCTAGGGCACCCTGATTCCCGCGCTTACTCTGTCTGGGTCCCAGTCGGAGTAGCAGGTGGGAAAAGCTGCATCAGCTATCATGCTGCCCGGTCCCGCTGGGGAGGACAGCACAGGGCCACACCCTCCGCCCGTCGCTATAGAGACGATTTCCACCTTTTTGTGACCGAGGCCAGAGGCCGAGGGTTGGGCGCTGGTCTACCCAGGCCCCCTTTCACCTTGGCCTGCAAGGGCATGTGGCTCTCCCTCCCTCACCCGTTCCCATTCTGGAGCAGATCAGGGAAAAAGTGAGTAAAACTCCAGGACAGAGATGCATGAAATTATGTTTCCTTCCTCTTACCCAAGTAAGTATGAGGAGGTGTGTAACGGAAGTCCGGGATGAGATTTACTCACCGATGAACAAGATCGGAGCGCGTGGCCGGCACTAGGTGAGGGGAGCCCAGGAAGGAAAGGCTTCAGGGGGGACAGGAGCACTGGGACCGGAGCTGGGAGACCGCGAAGTTGCCCATCTGAGCAAGGCTGGGTCGCTCTGCTCCACCGAGCCAGGCTGGAGGCGGGAGGGCCCGCGCAGCGCTGAAAACAGGGCTGAGGGTGGCGCCCTGTGAGCAGGGGTGCTCTGGTTCAGCCCAGGTGGAGGCCTCCCTGTGGCCGCGGCAGGGTGTCCTGCAGGCCGGAGGCCAGGAATCAAGGTCGGCTCCACGGGGTCTCAGAGCGAGAGCAAATGGAAGCGGCTGAGTCCAGACCGCAGAACCGTTCAGTTATGGATGTGACAGGGACGGAGAACAGAGTCCCAGGACTGCACCCAAGGCGCTGGGGTCCACCCTACCAGGCACGAGCAGGAGAGCCCGGGGAGGGAGGGAGATCGGGAGGGGGGACAGGGCTGCTCAGTCAGTGCAGCAAGTTGTCAACAAAGCAGCGGGTGGAGAGCAAGCCTGGAGAGCCTGGGGTGACCCGTGTGGGCCATCAAGAGGCCCCAGAGCCGGCATCGCTAGCCACTGTAAAGACAAAGAATGAAGGGACAGAGCATGACACCACAGTGACAGAAGGGGCGTCAGTGACACAAAAGCTCATCAAGCTGCAAAATGAGTAGGCAGGGAGGAGCGGGTAGAAGCACAGTTGTCACGTGAGCGAAGCAGCACCCAAGCTTCAGCGGGAGCAGGGAGGGGTCAGCCCAGAAAATGGGCTGACACTGGGTAGGCAACCCAAGATCAGCGCCATCCCGAAGGTTGGTTTTAACCCACTGTGGGTAACTTTCGAACACACTACCCACATGAATGCAGGTGCTATTAATACGAACGAGGCAGACGCAGGCTCACCAGGCTGGGGCACCAGAAGCCACTGTAGTGGGCCCCTGGTTTGCTGCCCCCTGTGCCACACGGAGTGGCTCAGTGCTGTTTTCAAAACAGGGCTGGGTAGCTGGGCGTGATGGCACACACCTGTAATCCCAGCACTCAGGAAGCTGAGGCAGGAGGATTGCTGTGAACTTGAGACCAGCATGGGCCACATAGTGAGTTCCAGGTCAGTCTCAACTACATAATGAGACCCTGTCTCAAAACAAAAAACAGGGCTGGGTAGCCAGTGAGGGGCAGATGACACTATAAAAATATGACCAGGAAAGAAAACAGCACACGATAGCAACAGGCAGGGCTTTTAATCAAAATTACTAATTTCATGTTACACACTTCCACAACGCAAAAACTGAGTATTATACAACTTTTAAGGTCAACAACTGATTTTTTTTCTTTACTAAAAAGTGACCAGAGGCAGGTTGAAATTCTCACCATAAATAGAAAATATTCATTACTATTTTTATTCATAATTCAAACCAAAGTTTCCTAAGAAGCTCTATTATCTAATAGCAGAGAGATTTGAAGTACTGGCTTGCTATGACGTGACTACTTCCTCTGGTTGTGCCTACAACAGAAAGACTAACATTCTGTGTAGCACTCTTCTATCACGGACTGTCCATGAGAGGCAAGTGGATGCAATGGTGTCAAAGAAAAGATCTTTCCAAAACTTTCTCACTTTAAGATTTTTGACAGTGAAGAATTTGTAAAATACCATTAAACTCATTTGCTATATAATAGCCGTCTCTTTCCAAATAGGGTATACATTCCACAGTACAGTAACCATTTAAATATGTGAAACAGTTCTAATTCTTACTGTAAGATTTGTCAAAATACAAAACACCCTTGCAATAAAATTGGCAACGTAGCTTCGAGGACCTCTGGACACCTCCTGTAAGAAATGACCACGGTCATAGCCGACGGAGCTGGGGGACGGCACAGCACAGGAGACCTGCACATCCTCCATGTCAGGACCCCACCGCTGAATGTAATGACAGCGTATACTCTTCAGATGGAATGAAATGAGGCCTCTCTGGAGTCCTGAAAAGCTTTGCAGAGAACACAACCTTAAAATGGGCAAAGATCATTCACAGACATGTTAAATGAGTCCCCTATATCACAATGCCCTCAACTATAAATACAAATCAAATACACACACACTTGCAACGCTGATCCTCTCACACATTTCTCCGTCACCACACGTGGCTGCTCGTGGCATTTGGATGCAGAGGTTTAACCCGGGCCAATCTGGATAAGCCAAGGCGGAGACTCTGACTGGGGGACTTGGTGGCCATGCCTCCCAGGAGGCTGCTGTCACCGCTGCTACTTCCGGATGCCGCTGAAATGAAAAGGTAAGGTGTCTTAACAAAGACTGTTCAGAGGCAAGAAAAGTAGTTAAGCATCACTCTGCTTTCCAGAGTCTATTGAAGAATAAACTAAATTAAAAGAACAGCAAGTACTAAAGAGCAGAAAGAATACAAGTTGGACACCCCTCATCTGAAAACCCAGACTCCAGAACACTCCAGCTTTAAGCATTTCCGGTATAGGACAATCAACCTGTACTGCCTATTTCCAGCCATCCTGAGGACAAGGTGATAAACCAAAACTTAACCATGACAGCTGAAGGAAGAAAGCTGGGAGCAAATAACACTGGTTGTATAGGCAGAAAGAAATGTACCCAAGTGTAATTTCTAAGGTAATAGAAAAATCTAATGTACTTTTATAAGTCTGGTAAGTTTTACAAGTATTCCCTAAAGAGTGTATTTTTCAATTATGAAAATAAAAGCTTTAAATGGCACATACTTCTCCCTATTACCAGAGAGACTTCAGATGCTATCACTGCATTTCCCAGAGCACTGGTATGTGTGTCCTTTGCTCATTTTCCCTTTGGGATCTTGACCACCTCCTCTTACTTTCTAAGACAAGTAAGTAACAAAATGGTGAGCTGAGGTCGAATCTGGCTCTCAGACAGGATGTTTGGTCAACATGGTGTTTAAAAAACAAAGGTAAATTTTTTAAAATGAGACTTTACATTAAAATCTGATTTCTAGCTTGTATTGATCCAACCTGGAAACACCAGGCCCACAATCCTGCACTTCCAAGGGGCTGAGCCTCAAGTCCAGGGCAGCCCCCTCGGGTCACTACAGCAAAGCTTCACTATGTCCAACAGCTGCCTGACCCCGTCACACCCTGGAGCAGGAAGCACTCTCTGTGTTGTTGGCTCTTCACCCAGAATCTCTGCAAATCATGTAATTTCTTTCATTGAGTAATCACTAACTATTCTCAGAAACTCTTTGAATGATATGGTATCATTATTTCAATAAGCTACCTTTCCTTTCCCAAAAACCTTTTTAAGTCCTTATTAAAAATCGGAGAACTTTTAAACCAGGAAGGACCTTAAGGATGGTACTAGTCCCTGATATTCCCAGTGATGAAATGAGGACTGAGACGCACTGTGTGCCCATGCAGCCCTACCACCAAGGTGCTAATTCTGGTCACCGCCTGGAGTGACCCATGTGGGTCCATCAAGAAAGGTCACTCCAAAGGAGCAAAGTAAACATGCTGGGCTGGGAGGGATGCAGAGAAGCAGAAGGGACAAATGAAGAAAGACGTGCCAGACAGGAAACTGATAGAAACCCAGACAAAAGAAGGCAGACAATGTGTAGAAGAGACAAAGAAAAAGATCCACTTCACTGAAGCAGAGGGCTCATTCAGTGAGAAAAGTAGATACAGGACTAGCTGGGAAGGCAGCAAGTAAGTATGTGGACCTGGGGTGGGGTTTTATTAATATCAAGAAGGTAAAGTCCAAGGAACTTTTAAAGGATTAGTGAGTCTTGGCTGTGAATTCAAAGAAAATTAAAAGAAAGTTCTGAGAACTAGAGGCTGAGTTTGCTCAGACATTTGTTAAAGCCTCAGCTGCCATGGATAGGCCTCAAGGCTGCAAGGGAGCATGTGGGGACCTGTGGGTCCTGAGCAAAAAGACTTGCTGCCAGAACGTATGTATCAGCAACCCAAAGGCTCACACTCCTTGACACTTAATTTTTTTGGGGGGGTACCGAGGCAGATGGCGGAACCACTGAACTAAATCCCCAGCTATTGACACTAATTTTAATGGCAGGAATGTTTTTTAAAGGGTTGTATTGACAAAAATAAAGACAGATTGTGGGCTCTCGAGAAAGACAGGTGCCAGGAATTTCATTTTACTAAAGTAGGAATGACCCACAGATTTCTAAAATAACGATCTTTGTTTTTACAGCAACTATTTATAACAAAAAAGTTTATTATAACAAAAGTTTATTATAACAAAAAAGTTATATACAACCTGACTGCCTAATAACAGTGGTTTTGAAGAATGTGCAGTAATATGGGAAAATGCTCCTGTGTAACATTTATTAACTAGGAGACACTTCACCAGTAGGAAATCGCCAAAGACTCCGCCTATGACTAAGTATACTGTACCTGGTGGGACCCACTTTGGCCTCCTGCTTTCAGCTGAAGGACTGCGGATCTGTAAGGGGCTCCAAGTGGCCTCTGAAGAAGAAACCTCCTTTGGTGAGGACTGGGATTTTGATTTGATTGCAGCTGGAGAAGAGTCTCCTGCAGTCACTTATTTGAAAAATGTACATAGAGAAGTCTGTCATAGAAGATAAAGTTCAAGTGTAGCATGTAAATGTACAAATTATAAAGCTTCATAATCTCATGAAAAATTAAAAAGGCAGTCTCAAAAACTTGATAAACTCTTATTAGACAGTAAACATTTATCAGTAGCCTAAGGATGGCCATCTTTTATAAGCATTTACATGCCAGGCAGTGTGACACCACACATTCCCTTTCACCCTTTACAACTTTGAGGCAGACACTGCTGTGCTCACTGTTGGATAAGGAGACAGAGCATGAAGCAATCTGCCTGTGCTGACAGCTGGTGCCTAAGCTGGGAGAAGAGACCAGGGGTGACTCTGAAGTCTCTAATTCAGTATGTGTCAGTGAGACAATGTCACAGAAGGCTTGTATGCTCCCGTCACTGGACTCAGGGGAGGGACAGGAGAAAAGAGCTATGTCCAAGGTAGCTTGTTAGGTAGGGGGCACTGTGTGAGAGAGGGAACACCTAACCCGGTGTATGTATTCAGAAGTCACGGGGAGAAGGGGAGATGGCTGAGCCACAGCAAGACTGAAGAGTTGAGGGAAGTTTTCAAGGCAGAAGGAGCAGATGTGAGAAGTTCGGGCCAGTACTGGGGAAGGCAGGGATCTTGAGGACAGAAGGTGGGAGATTCAGTTGGCGCAGTCCCTTTGCAGAGCTCTGCAGGCTGTGTACAGGGGTCTGGAAGGGCTAGGGTGGACTAGGACTAGGATACGAACTCATGATCAGATAAGGCTTGCTTTTGATACCTAAGCAGTTACTAAGTGAATATGAATAGGAACAATTTCACCGTGTACTTGTCCCAGTGTTATACCTAGCAGGCCTGTCCAACAGAGCTGTCTGTGATGAAGACATTCCCTGTATTTTGTGTTGGCCAATATGGTAGGCGCATATACTGCTGTTCCTCTGTATTTGAAAGGTTGCTAGCAAAAGCGAAAAGTCAGGTTTCAAATTTTAATTTCAAATTAAATGTAATATAGCCACGTGGCTAGTGGTTACCACACTGAGTAACACTACTTTCAAAATTTCACTATCAAGGGAAAAATAATGTGTTGGATAAAAGACTCTCAAAGGCTGCCCCACACATTATTAGTGGGACTAAAAAATATAATAAGTTTTCCTGATTCTTATCCCTGCTACTTAACAAACTTTACTCCCAATATTATATATCAACATCCCTTATGAAGCAACTTGCTCCAAGGTACACAGAAAAGGTTTTAAATGGTATATTTCAACTAGGAAACTGAACTTATGTTTTGTGTCTACCTGAAGAAGCACAACTATCTAAAGAAAACATAAAATATACTGCCATGACTTTTTCACACTGCATCTTACAGTAGGCAAAGTAAGGGCTCTCGGAAGAGGCACCTGGACTTAACATCCAGACATGTGAGCGTTTTCTACATGCAAAAGGGCTCTGCAGGCGTGACCAAGGCAAGGCTCTGGGAAGATTCTCCTGAGCTACTGGATGAGTGCAGCGTTATCCTCGGTCCTCATAAGCACCTAAAAGCGACAGTCAGATAGACAGGATGTAAGAAGGTGGACAGAGGGAACTGTGCAGGCGCCTTCTAGAGGCTGGAAAGGCCAGAAATGGAGCTGGATTTTGGCCATTTTGCATATTTGGCTTTTGGAACTCTAAAATATAAGTACATGTTGTTCTAGGCCACCAAGTTTGTGGTACTTTACTATAACAGCAATAGGAAACTAATACATATTTCACCTCTAAAAGTTCCTACATTTAAAATCTAATTTGTGGGAAGCAACTAAATTTATCAATAATTTTAAAAAATTCTAAAACCTCATTAATTCAAAATAGAGCAGAGGGGAGAATATGTCTCAGTATTTAAATTATGCTTCTTGGTATTCAGCACCATGTTATTAAGAGAGGAACTCTTATTAAAGGAACTCTTATTAAAGGAAAATTTTAGTTTCAAATAAATATGTATTAAAAAACTAAGGCAGAAAAATTCATATTGATAAGTAAAACGAATAGTTAATGAAAGTTATATTTTATAATTATTGCCCAGAACGGTGATGCACGCCTATAATCTCCCCCATCACTCAAGAGGCTGAGGCAGGAGGATTGTTGAATTCAAGGCCAGCCTGTCTCAAAAATCAAAACCAAAGAATCCCAATGATCTATTATACATCATGAATTAAAAAAGATCGTAACTTCTTTAACAAGAAGAAACAGGTATTCCATTTTCAAGTCTTCACAAATTCCAGAAGTTACACTATAAAAATGTCTTGTAATTGGATCTCTTTTGGGGGGAAAAACTGAAAAGGCAGAAAGCATTCTAAACACATGGCAAAGGAACTATCTAAAGACTTGGTCAAGCATGAAAGCAAGAACTAAGAGACCAGAGAGTGTCCCTGCTTAATTCGTGCAGAGAACACGCAGGGCTAGAGCTAACAGGACAGGCCTGGGCGGGTAAGAGGCAAGGTTTCTGACAAACACTCGGCCTCCCTGAGCCTCAGCCTCCTCCCTGCCCCCGTGCAGGTGGCAGTGAGCTCCGGATGGCCAGACACACTCAGTGAAACACTGGAATGTGGCTCAGTGTTCTCTGTCCCCCACCCCTATCTTGCTTCCTTTTATATTTGATAACACTAGCAAAATGTTAAAGAAAAATACAGCAAACGCATAAAACACATTTCCTTTATAAAATTAAGTGTTTTGCAGCATGCTTACCCAAAGCATTACATTTGGATTTAGATTTCTTCTCTTTCTTTTCTACTGGGGATTTTACCTTCACTTCTTTCCTTTTATTTTCTTTTACTTTACTTTTTCGCATAGTGAAGTCTTCCTCATTATCTTCACTCTCATCAAAATCAGAGTTGTTTTCAGAACCTTCACCTGAAACAGATTACACACTTTGTTCTAAAACGTGAGGCTCCCGTTGTTTCATCTGCAGCTTCCGCATCAGATCCCTGTGAACTCTGAGCAACGCCGTTTCCAACAGCAGAACGCCACAGCATGAGAAGTGCGGGACATTTGACACTTGCCCTCTACTTACATGCTGTGTGACCTCCGGTCACTAACTTCACAGTGCCTCAGTTTCCTCTCAGAAATGGGATGGCCATACAGTCTACTTCGTGGGGTGGTTGTACAGATTAAGTCATCTGTACACACAAAGCATTCAGAAAAGCATTTGGCACATGGCAAGCACAACTAATTGTTTTCTAACTTCCCGTCAGTAATCTTTATTTCATACCTGATTTCATTCCAGACGTTCCTCTATTTCCCACAAGTCGTCCTCTGTACTGCACGGGCTGATATAAACCAATGATACACAGGGGACTGAGTTACAACCAGCCTCACGTATGAACACATTTGGTTACGACCGGAATTTTAGTTTTAACTTAGGATCAAAGCCTTGACTTATGACAAATACCAGTCTTTCCTCTGTGGTGTTAAGGGAGAAATCCTGGGCCGATGTCTCTCTAAGGACACTAAGATCTGCCTGGAAGAAAGCAAGGCCCAAATATCCAGGAGAGAGGCTGAAGGCTATGCGGAGGAGCCTGAGCCTTCAGCTGACCCTGTCGCTACAGCATCGCCCCTCGCTCCTGACTCCCATCCCCACTTTTGCCCTTGCTCAATTTAGCCAACTATTGTCAGCCTACTAGCCTTGGTGATCCTTTAAAATTTCAAATTAAGATCAGGTTCACTTCTTTCCAAATAACTCCAGTGACCTACCAGGTCCTAACTGATCTTGTTTCTTCTCTAGCCTCTCCTTCCCTTACTCATCTTCAGGCACAATGGCCGTACCACTCCTTCACACACAAAGCACCCCGCCTCTGAACCTGTCTGTGCTGTTCCCACCATGAACACTTTTCCACATCTCCACTTGGCTTCCATCATCAAGTATCACCTCGAGAAGCCTTCTCTCACCACTGCACATAAACAACATCCTGGACTTTCATGCCACAGTCATCTCCACCCCAGCTGGACATTCTCTTCTTTGTACTTGTCATGGTACTTCAAATATCATAAGATTATATCAGTATCCCTCCAGAATTTAAGCTCAATTAGGACAGGACCTGTTTTGTTCAGGACAGTATCTCTTGTTCCCACTGGAATGCAACAGACATATGCTCTCAAACATCTGTTACAACTTAAATACAGTATTTGACTTGGTACAAATCACATTACAAGGCTCTGTTGAAGTCAGTATGTTTTCCTTTTGTCCTAATTTATGTGTTTGAAAACAAGAGCTGTAATAAAATACAGGTTCCACTTCCAACTCAAACTATTTCCCAAGTTTCTACTACCTGTGAAGAAGTCAGCCCCCTCGGGGGATGAGACATTCCACACCGGTGTCAGATGCCCCTTTAGTTTCTTCTAAAGCCCTCTCCCAGCAAGTCTCACTGATCAAGGGTCTACGGGTTACATGCATTTGTCCACTCCACTGACTATGCCCTTCTATGAATCAGAAATGCCATTTCATTCTTAGTCTGTTTTACTTTTTTTATTTTTGGTACCGGGGATCGAATTTGGGCACTTGTGTTTGCGAAGCAGGATGTGGAACCACTGAGCTAAATCCTTGGCCCTATTCTTAGTCTGTTTAAATGCTACTCATTTTTCAAGGCATAGCTTAAAGGTTTCCGCCAAGAAGCTTTCCCCCAAATGCCACAGCTGAACATAACTGTCCCATGCGTTTTCAAGACTGCACACTCCAAAGGGTTAGCATGGCGCTTTGCAGGCATCAAAGCCCTGCTTGAACCTCACCAACGTACTGCAGGGGGAGCGCTGCAGCAGGGCGTAACTCACCGCTTGCATCATCTGGCTCTGTATCATCAGCACTGTGGCCATCACTGCCTTCTGAGCCCGTCCTCCTCTGCTGAGCTTTAGATGATGCTTCTCCTTTCCCTTGGACATGCTGGGCATTACCTTCCTCGGAAATCCTGTCCAAATCTTCAGGAGGCATAAACATCATCAGAAAGCTTTTTGTGGAAGCTCTCGTTCCAGGACGAAGAAGAGATGCTATGACATCAGCTGCTTTTCCTTGCAAAGGCCTGTCCCTCCCCTGCTCCCAGTTAGCTACACACTACACAGTACAGGCTGGTTCCACACAGAACACGAGTGCCCTGGGAGCAGACTGGTCTGAAGGATAAGCCCAAACCCAGACAGACTCTTTCCCCAAGGGTTTTCACAGCAGAGCTGGACAGCAAAGCCCCTTTCTTCAGTGGGCAGCTGCTGTGGACCAGAAGCCAAAGGCAGTCACGAAGAAAGCAGGTTTGTAGTTAGAAAGAACAAGGCTGACATACAAAGCAACTGAGGCCAGGTGACAGAGTCCTGACACACTTAAAAACCTTGGTTTAGTTATGGTTCCGGGAATTAAAACAAAGTTTAAAAAAAGCACTGTGGACAAAATCATTAATATAAAAAAGTTACCTAAATAATCAGCAGCTATGCTGCAATTAGAGATATGTAGAGACTTGTTCATTATCTCTGTTTTACCGTTGCCAGGTTTTTCAATGCCTAAATGTAAGGAATAAGAGAGAATTCAGATGTACTGTGTGTATGTGTGTATGCGCGCACGCATGTGCACGTGTTTGTGGTACTGGGTATTGAACATAAGGCCTTCACACTGAGCTACACACTCCCTAGTCCTTTTTGCTTTTTAAATTTTGAGACAGGGTCTTACTAAGTCATTAAATTGCCCAAGCTAGGCTCAAACCTGTGATCCTCCTGTTTCAGTCTTCCAGAGTGTTGGGATTACAGGCCTGTACCCCACCTTTGATGTACCTCAGTCAAGCAGTATCTAGAAACAGATTAGTGCTGAAGTGTAACAGCATCTAGACACTGATAGATGACCTGAAACCCAAACCACCACAATGACGCTTACTTGGCGAGACTAGGACTTTGGGCTCTAAACTCACATTCACTCAGGCTCAACCGTGTAAACTGCCTCTCCTCTGATGGTATAGACAGGATTGTGTGCTGGGCTTGGTCCCCACCACAGCAGTGTTCAGTGGGGGGCACTGAGGAAGTGCTTGGACTACGAAGGTTCTAACTCCATCAGTGGATGACTCCACTGCATGCACAGCTCATTGGGCTTAGGAAAAGGCAGGTCACGGGGCACATGCACATGTGCTTTGTCCCTAGCTGCTCCTTCTCTGTGCCTTTTCCTCCCCTGCTTCCTGGCTACCATGAGGTGAGGCACTTTTCCCTGTCATGACGTTCTGCTTCACCTCAGGCCCACAGCGACCAAGTCAGCCAAACACTAACTGAAACTTCTGAAACCATGAGCCAAAAGAAAACTTTCCTCCTTTCACATGGTGTACGTCAGCTATTTTTCTCACAGCAATGGAAAGCTGAGTAGCACATCTTAGAGTTCATTTCCTCTTACATGAGATTACTAAGGGAAATTAAATATCAACCTCATGATATTTGGGCACTTTAGTGCTCAACACATAGGAAACAGTCAATAAATATTAACTGTCACTTCTGTGTAGACAAATCCATGCTTTTATAACATCAAGGTCTCTGCCATCATTACAATGAACTTAAAATTATCCCACTTTTTAGAAATTTTTTATTTTTATTAGTACTAATTTCAGTACATGACTATATTCATCGTGGGGAGTTGGTAAATGTCCATAACACATTTTCTTGATACTGGGGATCAAAATCAGAACCTTGAGCTTAGGAGGCAGGCACAGCACCACTGAGCTAAATCCCCAGCCCCATAACACATCTTAATTCTTTTTATGTCCCCTTCCCCTCCCTTCTCTCCTAAAATGATCCCATTTTAACAAGCCTTTAAATCATGATATTGGTACAATCCCCCTACTATAAAGTGATTAAAAAATATGCATTATTCAATGAGAAGTGATACTTTTGAGGAACGCTCAGAGTATACTCTACAATAACTTAGAGATGGATTTTACTTTCTCAATTTTGGATAAAGCACAATTGTCTTTGAAGTTTGATTACTGATAACTAAAATCTTTCAATTTCAAATAGCAGGCCATACTGACTTAAAAAACAAACATCCCACTTAATCCCCTAAGGAACAGGCTAAAATACCCCCAAAATAAAAGAATTTAGGTCAAAACAATTTTATGCAAGAACTATGTTAACAATTTTTTTGGTAACGGGGACTGAACTCGGGACCGTGCGCTTGTGAGACAGGCAGCAGAACCACTAAGCTAAATCCCCAGCTATTTGAACAATTTCAGTATATCTTCCAGGAATATTTTCTGCCTCTCCAGAATGTCAATATTACCATCTGCTGCACAGATGCCAGAAAAAAAATGAAAGGAGAAAACACACAGGGAAATCTACAATCCATTTATAATTCAAAACATTCAAATTGTATTCTTTCCTCTCTAAAGGACCTTCCACAGAAATTACTACAAAAGGGCTTAAAGATAAATACATAGGAAACACCTTACTTTTATCTTGAGACTTCTGCACATCATTGGCGACCACTGGATGGTCCTTCACTGATAAAGCTAGGGCAGCTTCTAAGCCTCTCTGGAAGATCTTGTCATCTAAAACCATTCTAAAATAAGACACACAGGTAAGTTTTTTAAAATGTCAGTCTCCACTCAAGAGCAAAGCTTGGAAGTTTTGTGTGTTACTGTTTGAGTGGTTGATCTCAGAGAAGTGCCTTTAAACAAGAATCACCACTGACTGACCATGGGCAGCTAAAACAGCAATGTCACATCACACTGCGGCAGGAGCAGTGTATGCCTTCGCTCTCACTGTGCCCTGTGACTGTAACACCTCTCTGCTCCGTCAGTTCTACCCCAGAAGGGGCTGCTCCTCTGAGACAAGCCTGCTTTGAACACCGCTTCCACCGAGTCTTTCTTGACTCCATCTACGCCTCTTTCAGATATTACAGCCCTGATAGGAAGTTTTTAAAATCTGGTCCTAAAAAATTAAAAATAAAACAAAATAAAAATGTGGCCCTCCCGACCTAGATGTTAACAGATAGTTTACTACATTCACCATACACAAGGCACTATACAAGCTGAATATCAAACAAGTACCCTCAGCAAGTCTGCAGCACGATGCAGTGGGTGGAGGAAGAAGGCACACTAGTAACTACCCCATGTAAGTCGGATTATAACCAGTCTCCTGTTCGGCTCGTCAGAAGGGCCATGGAGCATAAAAAAAAAGCAGGAAGCACAGAAATGTGCCTTTAAGTATGATTTTTAAATAAGTTTTGTTGATATGTATTTCACAGACCCTGAAATTTGACTTTTTAGAGTGTATGATCCAACAGTATTAGGTGAATTCAGAGTTGTAAACCATCATCATAACCTACTTTTACATGTCCACTACCTCAAGGAGGGATGTCACATCCATTATAGCCATTACCATTTACCCATCTCCCAGCCTCCTAGCAATTCCCAATCAAATTATTTCCATGTCTATGGTACGCATGATCTGGGAACTTTTTTAAAATTTAATTTATTGGTACATTCTAGGTAGACAGTACAGCTACATTCATTACTGGGATCTTGTACCTTTACATGCCAGGTCTAATCTGGGCATTTTAAATAAATGGAATTACAAAATATGTGGCCTTCTTTGTCTGGCTTTTTTTACTCAGCATGTTTTGAAAATGCATCAGTGTTGCAGCATGTATTAGGAGCTCACTTCTTGTGGCCATCGTAGATACTACATTACTGAAAATGTGTCCATCCATCGGCTGACAGGCATTTGGATTGCTTCCAGTTTGGGCCATTATGAATAATAATGCCGCGAACACTCACTTACAGGTTTTTGAGTGCCTATGTTTCTAATTCTCCTGGGCATACACCTGTCATACACAACCTAACACTATTAGAAACTGCTGCACTGTTTCTCAATTTAGTTGCACCCTTCAGCAATGTATGATGGTTCTATTTTTTCCATAACTTCATTAAAACTTATTATTGTCTTTTTTATTATAGCCATGGAGCAGGCGGAAGGCATCCTACTGTGGTTCTGATTTGCAGTTCCCTGACAGCTAATGATGTTGCACATCTTCTTACGTTCACTGGTTATTTGTATATAACTGGAGAAAGGTTTATTCAAATCATTAGCACATTTTTAATTGGGTTAACTTTTACTGTTAACAATCCTTTATATATTTTGGATGCAAATCTCTTAAGTTATATGATTTGCAAACACGTTCTCCTATCTAGGGATTGTAGTACAAGAAACTCAGGGCCAGGGATGTAGCTCAGTGGCACCACACCTGCCTGGCAAGAGCAAGGTCCTGAGTTGGATCCCTGCACCCACCCCCAAAAATGAGACTCCAGGGTTTGTCTAGACACTACAGGACCTTCTCACTGCTGGACAACCCACAACAAGATAAGAAAAAACTAGCTTTTATCTGGAGAAAAATACATGGCTTTAAGGTTTTAAAACTTCTTACAAGTGGAATTTAAAATGAAGCAGTCTTATAGGATTTGAGGACTGCAAAGAGGTGAGAGTCTATTATATTTTAATATTTAAATAAGTATGCTCTTTTGTGAATTTTTGAAGTCAGAAAGGGTTTAATAGTACGTCTCTGTTCTCTCACATGTATTAAGTAAAGCCTATTAGATGCCTTAAATTCTAATTTAAACCGAGAGTTTGAAAATGTGTCTCTTTTAAATGAACACAGCTAATGTCTGTGTCCCAACTCTCACCTTTTGTTAGGGGTTTTTTCTTGTAGTAGCATGTCTTCTTTCTGGACATTCTTCAAGTTAGGTTTTGGTTTGTCTTCTTTTAACTCTTTCGGTGCTATTCTGGGTTTCTTGCTTAAAGGTATAGTTGCAGAAATAAAATCATCTATGCATGTTTGAAAGAAAAATAAAAGAAATAAACTGATTTTCTTCGCAGCTGAAATTCTTGACCGTATGTTTGTGCTTTATAGGTTAGCAAACTGTTCAATTTTCAATGTAAAAATTATTATTGGTGCTGCCTTTATTCTCATTCATCCATTTCAACTCTTTTAAAAGAAAAACTAAAGCCATTAGAAAAAATGCTCCAGTTTTATCACAGAGAGAAGTGGAAGGCAATGATTTTTAATGAAACAAATATCTTTTTGAAGGCACGTTACCTATTCCTAACATATTAATCAGACTAAGGAAAGTAAGCATGACAGGGAAAGAGAAAATGGCTTCTTCTGAGAATTTTTATTTTTAGCAACAGTGGCATTTTGTCTTTCCATTCTTACAATGACCTTCTTACAATCCTACAAAAGTACAATGAAAGTAGCTAGAAAAGTAACGTTTTACTCTGTTAAAAAAAAAAGTAACTTTTTAATTTCTGGAAAAGGGAACTTCTTTTCCAGGTCATTATTGTTTCTCACAGGATTTTCTGCCCTACCAGTTTTCAAAACTGTTGTTTTGGTGACACTCAACATAAAACTGCTGCTGTGGCTTTAATTTTTTGTTTTGTTTTGCTTTTTTGAGACAGAGTCTTGCTATGTATAGTCCAGGCTGGCCTTGAACTGACAGTGATCCTTCTGCCTCAGGCACCCGAGGGCTGGGAATACAAGTGTGCTGCTGTGGCTTTTAAATGAACATCTGACACACATATGCACACATTCTGAATCCATGTCACTTTAATAACATTCCTTAGTGTTTATAAATATGTGGTCTCTTTTTTTTTGTTTGTTTTTTGTTTTTTGTTTTTTGAGACAGGGTCTCACTATGTATTTGAGACTGACCTGGAACTCACTATGTAGCCCAGGCTGGTCTCGAACTCACAGCGATCCTCCTGCCTCTGCCTCCCGAGTGCTGGAATTACAGGCATGTGCCACCATGCCTGGCCAATATGTGGTCTCTTTTGTGCTTTCCCACAGAGGAATATGATAACTTACAACTTTGTACACTTCCCACCCTACCCAGAATCCACAGCACAACTGATAATTTATAAATACCTCATGACAGGCTGTAATAGAAAGACAGAAGCTATATCTGTACCACTTTTTCTCACACTGTCAAAATACTTAAGGCTAAGCCCAAAGCAAAACATTCTTTAGAACTCATGAATCACTAAAATATTTGACTTATGTTGAACTATGGTGGTCAGGGAAAGAAATAATAAAGGCAACATCTAGGCTGGGAGTGTAGCTTAGTGCTAAAACACTTATGTGGCATGTAAGGCTCCAGGTTCCATAATGAGCACCACACAAAAAGGGGGGGATATTTCAAAGTATACCAATATAATCTAATGTTATATTTCCAGACTTCTGGATAAAAGCTCTCAAAAACATGTAATCAAGATGTTAAACCTCATCTTTCTTCACAGCCTTATTTCTCCAAATCTCATATGCAATTGAGAAAATGCTAAATATTTAAGCTGTACAAGTCATATAAATACTGAGGAAATGTTCCCAAATTCTTTAAGCAAAACTAGGAAGCTCTACTTACCATCGCTGTCGGAATTCTCAAACTGTGAGTAATTGACTGGTTTCTTATTTCTGTGAACATAGAAATTTCCCATTAATACAAATGCTCATTTCTTATATTTGTTCCTTAAGGCTATTAGTAGTTTTTAACAAAGAACATAAGTTTAGATTCTCTCAAAAATACTCAAGTCTTTGACATGATTTGCATTTTACAACAGGGACTTAGCATTAGCTAGAAAGAGTTAAAACGATACCTGATATAGAAAAAAATTAATTCAGGTAACTCACTAAGAATAATCCACACAACAATTATCATTTATGTGCTGTTTAGTTGCTCTTGTGTTCTAAAAACTCATGTTTTATATGTTCTTCTCTTTTACACTGCATTTACATTATAAACTTCTAGACCACGGGTGGGGAACCGATGGCACGCGTGCCGCAGTCGGCTGCTGCATGACTGAAGGCTCTAAAGGGTTCGCCATCACTCTTCTAGACAATAAAAGCTAGTCTTAAAAATTTCTCCAAACTATGAAATGTGTTTTTGTACAATGGGCACTAAAAAAAAAATAGTGAGCGGCTTTGTTTCTGCCGCAAGAAATGAATCTTTATATTAGTTTAGCCACCAGAGAGCTGCACCAGGCAGAGGAAGCAAAGGGTCCTCGGAGCTACAGACCCGCCGACGCCCCACCACCGACCTCCCGCCCCGTCGCCCAGGCCCTGTACTGGCTGCCTACAGCATCCGCGCGCTTTCTCCCCACCCCTGGAGATGACCTAAACTAGTCACCTCACAGGCCGCACCATGATCTCCGTCAAGGGTGTGTATCTGCACCTCTCAAACACTTTTCCACAGCAGTGGCGGTTTCGATTCCCGCCTAAAAAAAGGCGCGGCCCGCCCCGCCCCACTGCCGGTAGCCGTCCAATCACTGCCAGCCAGCCTGAAATGGCGCATGCGCTCTGAGAAGAGCGCGCTTGGTCATGCCCCTCGCGAGATACGCTTTTCCGCATCTGGCTGCCCAGACCCCCCCCACCCCACCACCCAGTTTGCGCAGAACTCAGTTTGTGCTTTTCCACTGCACTTTCGTCATAGCAGTGGCTTTGGCGCCTACTCTGAAATGTGCAATAAAGGTAGAAGTACATTTTATTGACCTTTTCAAATGATTAAACCCAAGTTTAATAGACTAATAGATACTTGGAGTGAGGTTTTTTTCCACACGGTGCTAAAAAAAAAAAAAAATAGACCAACAGATGTGAGTGAATCTGCTGTGGCGAATCTTCTGGCTGAAAAACAAGCCGGTAAGTCAGCTGACGTCCCTGGCTGCGGTGTCCCGGACATTTACGAGGTTGCGGATAGCTTCTGAACAGAGCGAGGTGAGCCCACGCCCGCGAGCGAGGAGTCGCGCGGACCAAGCCCGCCGGGTGAAGACCCCGACTCGTCTCGGCTTCTCAGCCGCAGCTTCCCCTGCTGGGTCGGCCTCACGCCTCCGCCCGGCTGGCTGCAGGGATTCGGTACCGTCCTCCTCTCGTCCTTTTTTTGTTAGAAATCTCTTTTTTGCTACGGCTGCTAAAACTGAGACAAGACGTCAAGATAGACCACCCCCCGCAAAAGCGAGCGGAGGCTGATGGGACTGACGTATCAACTTGTTGAAGCACAACGGGACTGGGTGCTGAGCTGATTGAAACAGACTGACGATTTGGTTCACCGAAAGTGACTAATCCAAGCTACATTAGACCATTGGAAACTCTTGTTTCTGCAGCTTTCAGCCCTCTGCTACAATGCGTCTTTACTACTTGTGATTTTATCGTGTACCCCCGGTAGCGCGCAATTTTTATGCTGACCTTTCTTTAGATAGCTTGTTTTGTTATCTCCGGCTTCCATTTATCGATCGTCTTGTGTGTCATTTTCATATTATTTATTTATTTTTTGGTTGATCATTAGGACAGACCTTCAAGCTAAATAACATTCTCTCCCAATTGACAGTTGTTCAGCGGCAAGTAAAGTCAGCCACTTGAATGACGGGGCTGTGTATTAGCTTTTGCTTTTGTATTCCCAGCATCTTGCCTACCGCATAAATTATGATAGTTCAGAATCCTTCGCATTTGAAACGGAACTTTTAATAAGAGTAAGAAATAGAGCGTGATAGGCACCATGGTCCAGATAAGTACATACTATAACTTGTTTGTTTGTTTTGTTTTCTTTTTTGAGACAGGGTCTCACTATGTAATTGAGACTGACCCGGAACTCACTATGTAGTCCAGGTTGGCCTTGAACTCACAGTGATCCTCCTGCCTCAGCCTCCCGTTGCTGGGATTACAGGCATGCGCCACCACGCCCGGCTCCAGGCTGTAACTTGTAACGGGACCCAGTTTGGGGACCCAATAGAAAGTTGAAGTAGGCTTCCTGGGGGGCTGTGTAAACTAAGACTGGAAGAACAAGGAGTTGCTGTGGAAGAAAATAAAGACCAGTAAGAGTGCTCTAGGGAAAGGAAAAGTCTTTGAATCTCAAAAGTGTAAAGGGAAGTTTGGTATTGACACATGTCTAGTATGGTTAGAAATCAAAATTAGTCAGTATGTACTAATAATGTGCATTAGTATCATGTTGATAAGGAGGGGTGCAAATGCACCCAGAGAAGTTTCAGGGTTGTAAATTGAGCTGAGGAGTTTGCATTTATCCCAAGAGCAATAGCTGGCGTAGAAAGGCTGTAGAGAGATGAGCAATATAATCAGATAAATGCATTCCTTTTTAAAAGAAAAATGACCCCATCACTTCATTGTCCAGAACGGCCTGAGAACAGATTTGATGAGGTAAAGCCCAGCAACAGGGAGTTCAGTTAGGAAGTTAATGAATGAGTCCTTAATTGATCTGGATTCTTACTTTTTGAAATGTCCATTTTCCACTGTGGTGGACACACTACACTTTGTTTTCTGTGTGTCTTCTTCCCACATAGGAGATCTTCTAACAGTCTTAACCCCCTCTCCCATCAGATCACAACTTCTAAGATCTCCAGCATCACCACCTGGTCCCTGCTATGTTTCTTTGGTTTATTTTCTTTGATTTTGTTTCGTAAGCTGAATATCTGTCCACTTAGGCATCTTTTTCTAAAAGTCTTTTTGCTTTTCTCTCTCTGTTCCTTTGCTAGTATTCAGAACCTTTCCTAAGAATACAAAGTCCCATATGACCATGACTCTTTCCCTTAAATGAAGTCTAAAAACAAACTTTTAATTGAAAAAAAGAAGCAACACTTTTCATCTCAAAGAGGAAAGTAGGGGTAATGCTAGGAAAAAACTATAAGCAGTGACTTAGTCCACACAAGTGAAATCTGAGTGGTGGAATGATTTTTAAAAGTTATAGGGGAATAATGAGACATCCTGTTCTTATGGACTTATAATTTAAATGTTTTTATTGTTCTATAGAAACCCTACCAAATATGAAGAAAAACCGAGAAAGATTCTGCAACAAAGAAAGGGAATTTGTGTATACATTCAAAATAGGAAATGAGTCCTTCGAACTGAGGGTGCCCCTCACGTTTCCTGTTCAAGAGAATGCCAGTCATTTGCATGGACGTTTGATGCTGCTGCACAATTTGCCATGCTTCATAGAAAATGGTGAGGACTGATTTTTTTGAAGTTACTACCACTTTATATTCCTGTGAGCTCTGTCATTAGAAGTTTTATGTTAGCATAAAATCTGAAAAAGATTGGAAACATAAACAAAACATAACCACTCCTAAGAATAAAAAAGATTTCCCAGAACATCATTGTATTGAGTATTTTCCTGTAACCCTTATATTTGTTTATAAAGCAATTTAGTATAAAAATTAAAATATATAGTGAAAAGTTAGTTGCAATATCTAGGAGAGAGCTCAACCTCTGAACTGAGTTGGGTGGGTTTATAAAGGCATTTGGCTATTGCCAATTATGGTATTATTGGTTGCCCTTTTAATGATCTGATTTTCAATTTCTGAGGTAATGGAACAAAAGGATTACTAATTTTTCAACCTCTTTACCTACTTAAATTAGTTCCATAAAGTGATTTGTATTAAGCCATCCTGAAAAGTCTAAATACCATCTCAAAGACTGGGAACATTTTTTTAAATGAGAAATGTTGATCAGTTATAAGAGAACACAAAAATTTTCTAGCACAGTCACATATTAACAAGGAACCTTGACATGAAGAGTTCTGTTCTTTGCTGAAAATGGTGATGCTCAAAAACGTGGTCCTTCACCTGCAGGGCATCAGCTACAGCTTGTTAGAAATGAGGAGTCTGGCCTCACTCATCCTCCAAGTCAGGAGCCCTGCAGTGGTGCTGCAGCAGTCACTTCTGCACGGTGTTCCAGGGAGCCTGATGTACGCTAGAGATTGTGAACCGCTGGTCTAAAGTCACAGACAGTGGCAGCCGGGCTGGAACCTTCTGTGGGTGTCCTGATTCCCCACCTACCACGCTCTCCACAGTGTCAGTCTCTAGTATCCAGACTGAAATCACAGATTGTCTAAATCAGTTTCAATTTCATCCATTTCTCTTTCAAATTTAAAAGATAATTATAGATAATTATAGGTTTTAAAGTTATATAGGAAAATCTTTTCCTATATAGCAAATAGTAATCTTCAGAGTCTCAAAATCTGTAGGTGTTTCTTTAGGTCTGTATATGACAGCTAGGAATTTTGACCTTTCTATATAATAACATTTACTAAGGAAAAATATTATGAAATTAGCTAAGTTCTTTTAAGCTTATTGTACTTTAACTGAGGACTCTCTTAGGGATATTGGCTTCACGTTGAAATGCCTACGCCAGGTACAGTAGCCTGTTTTGATGTGTAGGTTTTGCTGATGATGGTATTTGTTGTCCCTCTTACAGACTTAAAAGAATCTCTGAGCCAGTTTATAGAGGAAGAAGCCCTTCGAGATTACGACGCAGATGCTGAGGCAGCCTTGGAAGCTGTGAAATCAGGCGAAGTAGATTTACATCAGCTGGCTAGTACGTGGGCCAAAGTGTACACCGAGGTAAGTAAGTGGGGGCGGGGGGACTGTTGTTTGTCTCAGGTGTATTCTTAATGTGAATGAAGACTTAAATTGCTGAGTGTTAAAATGGTTCCTACAATCCTGTCTTCTCTACATTCCAGTGTATGTTGCCGCTTCTGTGCTGTTTTCCCCTATCAGTATAATGAGCAGGCAAACAAGATGTGTCGGGCCTGGTGGCACACACCTGGGAGCCCTGCACTCTGAGCGGCTGAGGCAGGGGAACTGTAAGTTTCACTCCAGCCTGGGCAACTTAGCTAGACCTTGTTTCAAACTAAGTTTTTAAAAGGCCGGGGATGTAGCTCATTGTGAAGGTCCTGGGTTTAATCCAGTTCTGCACACACACACAAAAGACAAAACATGTTTTATGAAATACCTTTGTAAAACAAGAGGCTGCTGAAATGTATCTAACGAGCGTGGGCTCCCAAATGTAGTAATTAAAAACACAGGACACTGCCATTTGTGATGGTGCATACCTGTAAGCCTAGCAGTCAAGAGGCTGAGGCAGGAAAATCTTAAGGTTGATTCCAGCCTGGACTACAAGGTAAGATGTTATTTTAACAACAACAACAAAACAGGCATAGTGGTACCTGCCTGCAATCCCAGCATTTGGGAGGCTGACCGAGGAGGGTCGCCGACAGTTCCGACCAGCCTGAACTACATATTGAGACCCTGACTGAAAATAGAAAAGGAAGAGAGAGAGAAGGGGCTGGGAATATGCCTTGCTTACACGTGAGGCTCTGGGTTTGGTCCACTAGCACAACACCCACAAATAATTACAGGGCACCCAGTGAGTCTGCAATTGCAGCTAAATGAATAACTTTTAGTATAAGTATAGCCCACATGTTACATGGACCATGTTTATGCTAAAATTGATTTGCTTCTAATTTAAGTGATGGCCTTGCATTTTATTGACAACTCTACTCACCAGTAGTATTTATGTTTTGATTCACTTTGTCCTCTAGTGTCATAGAGTTATACAATGTCATCATTTTTATTTAACACACTGTTTCATGAGTCTAAGACACCATTAATTTGGACACACATTATTTTATTCACAAATAGCACCACCATTTAAGCTATGACAGAAGGCCCAAATGCCACTGAGTACAAGTTGTAAAGAAAGACTCAGAAATGTCGTTGAGTTCCTGAGTAATGCTCTCTGTGACAAGATCAATTTCAGTTGACTGATGGGAGCAGAAACTAGATTTCAGCAACTTTGAGAGTGCGCGAGAATGTAAAAGTAGGAAGAGTGGCAATGGGCAACCCTTCTCTTGAGGGAATGGTGTGAGTTAGATCATGAGAGCTTGGGTTAGTGTTTATTTCTCAGGCAGTAGCTTCTCTGTCTCATCGGCTAGCGCTAAGCTAAGTTTAAAGTGGGTGCTGCACTTGTGCAGCTAGATGGCTGGCCAGTGGTCACCGGGCTGTGGTGTTTGTGTGGCTGGTGAGATCCCCGTGACCTTGTGCTGGCTCCTTCCTACAATTTCAGTCTGAGCCCACAGTGGATTTGATGAGAGATGGAGTCACACAGGCTGGTAATGATTCCCAGAGTGGTGCCAGGTCCAGAGGGATGATGTAGTTCTCGGAGTGCACTTTGGATTGTGGAGGAGGTGAAAGCTCAGTTCCAGGCTAACCTAGTCCTCCAAGACTCCGCCTGCCTGCCCACCTGCCATGGCGCTTGACTAACACAGAGGAACAGGTCATCTCTTGATTGACCACATTCAAGATCCCTGTCTCTGTGGTTTATTCACTTGTGTTAAAGTAAGTTATCACTGTGAGTAAGATTGCAGCTTTTATTATTTCAGTGATAAGAAAAGGGAAGACTTTATTTAGATGGCTTTTTTTCTATGGAACCTGTTTGCAAAAAACAGTAATGGGAAAAACTATCAAAATCTGCATTTTCCTTTCCCTTTGCCATTCGTGTAATCATCGACAAGGCGCCATGCAGCCTGTGTGTCCCCACAGTGCGGAGGTGACTGCCCCTGGCGTGGGCACCTGCACCTCCCGGTGTGTCTGTGTGCTCAGTGGACTCAGCATGCTTCTGCTTTTCTGCTTCAGCAGTATTTATTCCATTCCTTTGTCATGGGATCGCCATCATGTGCTTCAGAGTTCACATTTTACAAAGAAAATGAAATACTTTTGAAAAAGAACACATGGAGAGGTCAAAATAAGAAAACTGCCCAAGTTAAATGTAGATATGCGTGAATTGGGTTTCAAGGTTAGTGTGTCACTAGACAGGTGAGAACATAAGTCACCTCGTGATCTAAGTACATAAGCTTATAAAACCTTTTTAGAGTCTTTAATAAATCAAAGTTTTTACTGACTCTATAATTGAAACATGCAAATTATTGTGATCATATAATACAGTAGAAAGTCAGAGTTATCAGTCATCACTGTCCTGAAACAGCCACTGCTAGTGTTTTGCTGATAATCCCTTTGTGTGAAGTCGGGGGAATCATATATATTTACTTATTTTTTACTGTGCACACTTCTGTCCTTTTTGACACACTAATATTTCTCCCTTACCCCACCCCGGGTAATTCATGGTAACAACTTAGTGTACATCTCGCCATATTCTTCTCTGCCTTCAATCCTACAGTAACATATACAGTGGTGCCAGGGTTTACGAGCTTCATTTGTTTTACAGCTTTGTGGAAGACGGGTGCATTTGCGTCTGTGTGGAGAAGAGGGCTGTGGTCGAGTTTGCCACCCAAGTTTGTGAACAAAAGCAAAATTTTGCCAAACACTTTTGTTGCAAACCTAATTGTTTGCAAACAGAAGCATCTGTGAACCAGGACATTAATTACTGTATTCACATAATATAAGAGCAGTAGAGGGTTTTTCTGTCCTTGCAAGATACACAAAAATGGAATCATAATTACATACTTCACTAGTGGTATGTCAAATAAGATACTATGTCCTGATTTAAGAATGTCTGTGTATCATCTCGTAGACCACCTTAGAGCATGCAAGGCCGGAAGAGCCCAGCTGGGATGAAGATTTTGCAGATGTGTACCATGACCTGATCCATTCTCCTGCCTCGGAAACTCTCCTGAATCTGGAACATAATTACTTTGTTAGTATCTCAGAACTTATTGGTGAAAGAGATGTGGAGCTGAAAAAATTAAGAGAGAGGTATTTCACATTCTGCTTTATCATATTTGAGAGTTACATTGTCAAATATGATAGCCTGAAGAACGACTTGTTTTCATTTTGTGTAAAATAAGGGATAAAATAGAATAAATTATTAGTCTTAGAAATGAACTTTCTTGGGATGTTCCGCTGGGAGGGTCCTTGGCTGCTTAGAACTTCTTCATTGACTGACCTGGGTGGTTACGCCAGCCTTGTATGTCCGTAAGAACTGATTCCCTCCGCTGAATCTGCTGCATGCCAAGCATGATGCCAAGTGGCCTACCTCCTTTGATCTTCCCCCAGCCCTCTAATGGAGCACCAGTGGTCACAGCGCTGTTACTCTTCCCACCTTACAGAGGTGAGAACTTGGGCTTCAGTAGAGGGCGAGCTGGAGAATTTTAAACTAATCTGATGCCAGAGCTGTGAGCCACTTGCCACCTTGCTGTTGGCCTAGTCACAACCTTCTGTATTGTCCTGCTCTGAGGCCATGGTCTCTTCAGTTCATTTTGTGAGCTTATTTATGTTAGAAAGAGAAAAACACTGTATTGTTCCAAGAAATTTTAATCAGATTTTAATTCTTTATGGATTACTTAATACAGTATAAAAATTATAGTTTTGTGACTTTTTTCCACAGTGAATAAAAAGCTGCTAGAGTTTATTTTTAATCATGACTCTGCAGACCACTTCCTCATAACTATCAATTGTAATATGAATTCAGGTACACTCTTTCTTCTAGCCAATCCTTTGTTTGGTTTTTTGAGACGGGGTCTTGCTGTGTAGTTCAGGCTGGCCTTGAACTCATAGTGATCCTCCTTCCTCAGCCTTCTGAGTGCTGGGATTACAGGCAGGCGCCACCACACCCAGCCCAGAATTAAAAAAAAAAAAATTTTATCAGAATCTATTAACAGTTACTACCTTATTTAAGTCTTTATTTGTTTTGTTTTGTTTTTTGGGTACCGGGAATTGAACTCAGTTCCTTGCGCTTGCAAGGCAGGCCACCGAACCACTGAGCTAAATCCCCAGCCCTTAAGTCTTTAGATGTACACACCTCTAAGAATTTTTTAATGTTATGGATATAAGATTTCTTTGGTTGTGGGAGCATGCTAGGATCAAAGCACATATATTTGTGTGTGTGATTGATATAAAAATCCCAAAAAAGTCAGTTTATTTATTTTATTTATTTTAATTTTTTTGGTACCAGGGGTCAAACTCAGGTCCTTGCGCTTGCAAGGCAGACGGTGGAACCACTGAGCTAAATCCCTGGCCCCTCAAAGACGTCAATTTAAAGCAGTGTCCTTGCTCTTATCAGCTTCCCATTAGAAAACATTAAGACTGGCAAGTTGAGAATAACCTTTTACTTTGAAGTCTCTCGTAATTAAGAAAATTTAAGAAGTACAAAAATCATGAGCAACCTGATTTAGTTATGTACTTCTGAGGGGTGGTCTTCTGGGTACTGATTGGCATTCCTATTGTATCATGTATATTGGTAAGTTTTCATCACATTCTCCTCTGAGGCATTTATTCCCGTATGCGTAAAGTAGTATAACAGTCCCTGTGTCACAAAAAGCATGATACTTTGAGACATTTATTGTTCTTTTTATTTCTTTATTTTTTTGGTACCGCGGATCGAACTCCAGACCTTGTATATGCAAGGCAGGTGGTAGAACCACTGAGCTAAATCCCTGGCTTATCATTCTTTGTATGAATTTGGGTTTTGGGACAGTTTATCCCTTTCTACCTGGAATACTTGCCATATGGCTAGTTGCCACTAGGTAAATAGTTAAAGCTGCTGTGTCCCTGGGGCAGACAGTAATTTAATATTTTTTCTCATTCTTTATTATTTGGCCAATAAAATTGTGAACACATTTAAAATAAAATGCAGAATTTCATTTTTAAATATATAAGTATGATTGCCAAATGCTGATTATTTGTCTGATTTTTACTACTGGTCCTCTTGGATCTTAGATTTCCAGAACTACACTAATTCTGCCTGTTTGAGTACAGTTGGGCCTCTGTGTCTGTGGATTCAGCCAACTGCAACTCACAGATATTCAGGGAGAAATTATGCTGTTGTATGCACTTTCTTATCTTGCCATTCCCTAAACAACGCAACAACTGTCCTAGGGTTTACACTGCTTTAGGTATCATAAGTAATCTAGATATAACTGAATGTGTAAGATAAGGATGGACAGGATGGATGTCCGTTGTGTGCAAATACTGCGCCATTTTGTATCAGGGACGCAAACGCTTGGGTTTTGGGCTGAGCCCTACCCATCTCAGGGCAGCTGTGTGGTGCCAAGTCCCCACTGTGGCCTGCACATCGGCACCAGTGCTTCGCTCAGCTCTGCATTACCCTAGACCAGCGAGCTCTGCTGCCTCTGCTGCCAAACATCTGTCTCAGCCATTGATACTCGTGATTGTTTTGTTTTGTCTTGTTGTTTTCTGAAGTAGAAGATTCCTGTTCTACCTGACTCTTCACCTTTTGGGATACTGAATCGACGTCTAATTATTTAACTTTATTGGCACTTGAGAGTTCTACTTTGCAGGAATTTGCTTTATTCCATTGTTTGATGTGTTCTTTGGCCAGATTTCTAGATGGGGCTTTGCCTTTTATTTTTCATTCTAAATACATAAATAATATTACAATGCTTGTATTTTAAAGATGGTTTTGTAGTTCATTTTATATATGTCCAAACTGTCCGCATAGATAAATAATAAGCTCTCTTCCCTATAATGCAGTATTTATTGCAAAGGCAAGCAGTGGACTTAAAGTGAATTTCACTGGAGTCAAAGTGCTGGTGCTTAAGTCGCTTCCCCGTTCATGAACAGAGGTGGCACGTTTCCTTACTCTTCACCTTATTGCCATTTATGTCTTTAGAAGACAGTTTCTCAGTGTACCCTCCAGTTATAGGGATCTGTTCTCTTCAGATGTCTACAAAATAATATACAGGTTGCAGAATTGCCACACCTGATACACTGATCCAATCTGTATTTTCTATTTCACCTGAAATATATAAAATTTCCCTTGATCTTAATCATAGGAAATATATATGGTATCCTTAACTACAGTCTTAGCCACTTGAATTTTGGACATATTTAAGATGAAACAAAAGAATTAAATAAGTGTTCATGAAATTTTATTTCTTGAATTCTTGCCGCCCCCCAGAAAAAATTTTTTTTTTTTTTTTTTTGCAAACCACATCCAAGATATTTCTTTAAACTTAAAAAAAGTGGCAGAGATGCTTTTTATCCACAAGAGGGAACACATGGAATGTAAAATATTAATAGAATTTATATGTAAGCTTACTTTGTAAATATTTAAGTTATTTCTGTTTCTAAATAAAAATCTTACTTGCAAGTGTAATCTTCACCTGACCTATCGTAGTTATCCAAATGTTAATAGGGTCAATTGCATTAGGAATAGTAATCCAATGATACTGAATATTTAATACCAGAAGATATGGATACAGATAAACCCATGTACAAGGTCCGGGGAAAAGGAAGGAATTGAAGGACAGAAAGATGGAAGGCAGAAGAAGACTTCTAAACTTCATGAATGAGTTCCACTCATCACATATATGAATACAGATCCCTAATTGGTGAAGCTAAGTTCATACTCATTTTTAAGAACAATTTATTTCTATTAATGAGTGTAAAATTTGGTTTATGTCTGTATTTTGTTCTTTCTCAATTTATTTGAAATGTGTTGCAGAATAAATTTTTGGCATGCATTTGTATTAGAACCTTCTAATATCTAATTAACTAATTCTTAATTTGGGTTTTTAAATGACCATATTTACTAAACTATACATACAGCTAGACACAGTGGTGCATACTTGTAATCCCAGCTACTTGAGAGGCTGAGGCAAGAGGATTGCTGGTTCGAGGCCAGTCTGGGCAAACTAGCAAGGGCCTGTCTCAAAGCAAATAAGAAGGGCAGAGAATATAGCACAGAAAAAGCAACAAAGTGCAGCTCAGTTCATTTTCACAAAGTCAGTACACCCTCCTCATATCACAGATGAAAAAGCAGGAAGTCTTCCTCAGGCCCCTCCCTGCTGCCATTCTCCCCTAGGTAAGAGTGGTCTGTGCTCTGGCACCGTCAGTTTTCCCTGAATGGAAACCCATTCTTTATTTACATTGGACAAACGCAGAAGGGAAGACTGCACTTTGTGTTCAGACTGTTTTCCAGTGGTCATTTTGTGATTTAGAAGTGTGACCCTCAGAACCTAATCTGCAGCTTCTGCATGTTGTTGAGTAACTTTCAGAGGTTGAGGTCACTTTGGTTCTTATACCAATATGTGACGAATTTAGACAAGTAGAAAATCTTTTTAAGTGGATTTTCAGAGTACTTTTTAGAATAGTTGCAGATGAGAAGTTGTCTGGACTATTGAAATACTAACCAACATAACTTAAAGGTCACTTGGGTTTAAGTGTTACATTTTTATATTGTAGTCAAGCTGAACAAATGATATTGATATTGGAAGATGTTGCCAGGGTGTCTCTGTCCCCATTTCCAGGGGTTCCAGTGCTCTGCAGCATTAGAGTCAGCACCCCTGCATACGTGCCTGTAAAACAGACATTTCATTTTCACTCCATTGGGTTAGTGTGATCATTCACCAAACATTCTGCTCACTGACTCAGATTGCTTGGTGACCAAAGTGCTCATATGTATCGAAAGTCTGACGAGTAGATCTGATTACTGTGTGTTTTAGACAAGGCCTTGAAATGGAGAAGGTGATGCAGGAGTTGGGAAAATCACTCACAGATCAAGACGTAAATTCACTGGCTGCTCAACATTTTGAATCCCAGCAAGTAAGTGAAATACAGTGATTTTTACACATGCAGTTAACATTTTCTTATACTTACTGTTTTTGAAAGAAAAGTTAAATGATTGGCCCACTGTATCTTTCAGGACTTAGAGAATAAATGGTCAAATGAATTAAAACAATCAACAGCTATCCAAAAACAAGAGTATCAAGAATGGGTGATAAAACTTCATCAAGACTTAAAAAACCCCAACAACAGCTCCCTGAGGTATTAAACATTGTTCTTCTTACTCATATAAAATTCCACTGTTAGTAATAGTTTCTATTTATTGGAAGATTGAGGCTTGCTGTATGTATTTTTAAGGTACTGGTGAATATTCAAGGTAATTTTGTGATTCCATTTTTTTGTTTGTTTGTTTTTGGTACCAGGGATCAAACTTGGGACCTTGTACTTGCGAGGCAGGTGGCGGAACCACAGCTCAATCCCTGGCCTGTATGCTTCCTTTTAACACCTTTTGCATCATAGGCTCTATGTGTATTGTAGGGGGAGTGGGAAGTGGTAACTGGTTGGTTTAAAATGGTGATTTTTTTTTTCCCCTAGAACTTTAGCTGTAGAAATCTTTCAAGGTACTTACTCCTAAGTACCACACTGGTTTTTTTTTTTTCTCAGTTCCTGCTTAGTGCAATTGGTTGGATGCCAAACACTCTTTAGGCAGAACAAAAACTGTGGAGCTTATATTCAAAGAAGTCTGATCTGTAAATTTTTTAATTCTGTACCAATTGAGATGTGTAGTAGCAATTCCTATCTTGTGTGATGCTTATGACCTAAATATATTGTTTAACACTCTGCCTTAGAGCTTGACAAGGCTGTATTATTTCCTGGCTGCATCTTCATATGTTTGAGAACTTCCACTTTCAAATCCTAAAGTATATTCAAATAAAAATGCACTGAGAACATGGGAGTAACTGTTTTCACAGTATGCTAGTGTATGCCATAAACATTTTTAAATGTCTCATAAAATAAGCCTCTCCTACTTGTTTGCGCTGAAGGCAAGAATTATGTCTAGTTTTTTTTCACCCATTGTATGGCAAGCAGCTCCTTGCCAAGGGTGTAGCTCTTGACAGTGGCACAGCAAGACTCACTCTGTAAATATTCATGGGATGGTGGGATAGGTTTGTTAAGCTCTTTGTCCAACACCTTAGTCACCTTTTATGTACTTCCTGTAATCTTTTACTTGTCTAATGTTTTCTCAGACCCTTGGTTGCAGTCTTTGAGGAACTGCTGTAGATTCTTTACTCTCCAACCAGTTTTTTTAAAATAACAATGAAATAGAATAGAACAGGAGTAGACTGAAATAGAGAAAAACAACAGTCTTATGCATAAGACTTTGTATAAATTAATAATTGAGTCAAAATGTAAATATATATAGTGTATTGTAGACAAAAAAGGTGAAAGCCACTGGTGTAGGGAAGTTGAGCTCCTTCCTACAGAAGACCCTTACTACAAAAGTTATCCTGTGGTTGCTTTAGTTTCAGAAATCCAATCTGTGGGATCAAGCCCAGTGTGTAAACATTGGCCTCTAGCTGCTGCTGCTTCTAAAGACTCAGTACTCCTGTGAAAACTGTTTTTACTGTGGCTTTGTTCATTTGCCTTTCTTTTTGATGAGTGGAAGCCTGTTTTCCACCAAACTTTATATGCAAAAGTGAGGTTGTAGAGGGATAAATCACATAAAGTAAAACTCTTCTGTTTTAGGTATTCAGTTTGGTGAATTTTAACACAACCAGTCATAAAATCATCGCCACACTCGGGATTCAGCATTTTGCTTTATACTTCCTAGGCCATTGCTTTCCCCCTTCCCAGTCCCCGTCAACCTGTCCAATTTCTGTCATCAGTTTCGATGTCCTGATGTTCCCAGAGGATTATACAATGGAATCAAACTGTATGTTGCTGTCCCTAGTTTGCTTCTTTTATTTAGCATGGTACCTTTGGAACTCATTCCTATTGTTCTAAGTATCGGTATTTTCTTTTTCTTTTTATTATTCAGTAATACTGTATTACTCATTGGCTTATCCATTTACTTGGTGATGGACTTTTCAAGTATTTCAGGATTCAAGGAATTATAAATAAAGCTGCTATAAAGTTCTTTATAGAGACATGTTTTATTTCTCTTATGTTGGCACCAGGCCACAGGTGTCTTATTTACTTTTCTTCTATTACTGAGACAGAGTATCCAACACCCAGGGTTAAAGAAGGAAAGGTTCATTTAGCTCACAGTGTGTGGAGGTTTCATTCCATAATCAGCTGGCTCCAAGGCAGCTGGCGTGGCAGAGGGGCCACAGTTCATGGCGGCAGAAGAAAGCAGAAGCAACAAGGGACCTTAACAGCATCCTTGTGCCCCTTTTATCCCATCCAGACTACAGGGATGGGGGGGCACACCAGTCAGTGTACTGACTTCCCCATTGTATACTCTTGATCCAGCCACCTCTGAAAAAGCCACCTGTGACCACATGAGGCTTTGGCGGACATCTAGACCCACACCGTAACACTAGGTATATGTTTAACTCTATAAAAACTGCCACACAGTTTTCCAAGTGGCTGCTGCGACCCGATATGAGAGTGGCAGCTGCACCACATCTTTGTTAACACTTGGTGTTGCTATTTAGCTGTTCCAGTCAGTGTGGTGACGATCACTCACTTTCTCCTTATTTAGTGTTTCCGTGACGGCTAATAATGTTGAACACTTTCCATGTGCTAATTTTCTGTCTTTGTCTCTGTGTTTCTTATTATCAAGTTGTGTGCTTTTATTATATGTTATGGATACAAATCCATTATCAAATGTATGTTTAAAATATTCTCTTCCTGCTCTGGCTTGTCTGTTCATTCGCTTACTACTGTCTTTCAGAGAGCAGTCTTTCATTTTAGGTGCAACTCAACAATTTTTAAAATGAAGACTTCTGTTTTTTAGGGTAGTTTTGGTTCACAAAATTAAGACGGTATCCGTGGCTTACATACATGTAGCCTCCCACATTTCAGCATCCCCCAACAGAACGGTACATTGGTTACAACTGAGAACCTGCACCACAAGCAAGGTGTGTTGCACACCTGTAATCCGAGCACTCAGGAGGCTGAGGCAGGAAGATCCCCTCCAGTTCAAGGCCATTCTGGACTACATAGTGAGTTCAAGACCAGCCTGAACTATGTAGTGAGACCTTTTCTCAAAAAATAGAGTGGGGCAAGGGAGGGAGAGAGAGCCTAGATTAAATGTACATCATGTTCAACTAAAGTCTTTCAGGGTCACTCTTACAGCTGCATATTCTGTGGGTTTGAACAAATGCATAGTGACGTTGTGTTCAGCCTGGCAGCATCATACAGCAGTTTCAGCACCCTCAAAAGCCTCTGTGCTGTGCCAGTTTTTCGGTTTTTAAATGGTTTGTGTCTTGTCTAAGATATCTTTGCTTAATTCATGATCACGAAGACATTCGATGTTCTAGAAGTTTTAACTTTTGTGTATAGGTTGTGGAATAGTACTTCACACGTGTGGTATATATATCCATATGTTGGTCTCTAGCTTTTGTTACAAAGTTTTTATTTGGTTTTGGTATTAGGATAATGGTGATCAGTGGTCATCAACCTATCCATGTGTTTTATGTCTAGTATTTCCATTGTTTTCTCTCTTTTTTTAAATACTCTATATAGCCTTATATCTTACTTACCTTCTCCACTACATCTTTTAACATATTAGTCAGAATTATTTTAAAGTCTTTTTCTTTCTTTTAGACTCAGTATCTGGGTCATCTCTAAATTTGTTTCTGTTCATGCTTTATCTCTTTATAATGTATTTTTTTTCCCTCTTTGCTTTTCAGGTTGTCTCTCCTCCTCTCCCTTCTTTTCCTTTCTTACTCTTCTTTTCTTCTGCAGGCTAGATGTTGTAAATATTAGAAAAAACTGAAGTGAAGAGTAATTACATGCAGAAATGAACTGGCCCTAAATGGGAAGCTTGTGCAAACCCTAACAGTAGTTGAGCAGTTCGGCTTTTGTGCCAGTTACTGTCAGTGTCCCAGTAGGCTTCATTTCTGCAGCAATGGTCTATGCTGTTCTGGGCCTGGGCTGAAGTTGGGATTCTAGACAGGTTTCAGCATTCTGCGTCCGTGCCATAGCAGATCCTTTCTCCATGCTGTTGCTCTCTCTCCTGGCAACTCAGTGTTGCTCTTTACCATTTGGTGTGAGCCACATGGGAGCAGGGCAGGTTACTTAGTGCACCTGCTGTCCTGTTCTGTGGTCTCTGTCCAGCTCTAGTCCTGGGCAGGTGATGTTTATCTGGGCGTCAGGGGCATTCTCAGCATCTCTGCCTGTGCCTGCTGTCTCCCCGGTTTGTCCTTGGAAGCACCTGGTGGGAGCTGATGGGATAGAGCTTGCAGGTGCCTTCTAAAGTGGTATGCCAGCCCGTACTTGGCCTTCAAGAATTTATTAAAATTTTAGCAGACGGCTTTTTGCTCCCTTATGTGACGGCACCTGTTCAGGTCACTGTGACAGAAATGGAACTGCTTGTGTGTCCTGTCTGTCCAGGAGCGTCATGCTGCACATTGGAATTCAGTGTCGTTTTTTCTTCAGATCTTTGATGGGCTCCGGAAAAGTTATGACTATGTAAATTCTCTGGCTTTTCCTCATTGTTGAAGTGGGAAGAACATTCTCTTGTTGCTTCCTTTATGCTAAGGTGTGGATATCAATATGTATTTATTTTCGGTTTAAATTTCCCATACTTACTAACAAAGTCAGTGAGATTAATGAGACTCTGGATTAACCCCCAAAAGTAGATTAGTCAGTAGAGTACATGACTCTCACAGACCCTTACCATCTTCAACTTACCCTGAAATTCAAATTGAATACTTGTACACCTACACCTCCACTTTGGAAACCTTTTCAGGAAATACAGAGAGCAGAATAGAGCAAAGAGAGGTCACTTAGTAGGAGGAGAATGTTGGAGGTTAAAAAAAACAGGAAATGATGGAAAGCAGATATGTATACATTAAGACAAACTTCACCTTTTCATTATATGGCTTAATTTTTATTGCTATCATTTCATCTGTTTTCTGATTTGTTTAGAGCTAGCCCTGGTATAAGATTTATTATATATTTTTAGATATACATGATGTGATTTTAAGTAATATGTCAATTACTTCATTTTCTCATTCTCAGTTTCACTGTGAAATTTTAAATGGTAATATGCTAATTGATGTTGTGATGAGTGAGAAGAATCTGCATGACTTGGTGCAAAGTGGGAAGTTTACAACCTGTCAGTGCCTGTGGTCTGTCTTGTCATCGTGGCTTAAGGATGAGTTTAGAAATCAGTAAAGCACTGCTTTCAGCTTTTCTGTTTTCTCTTATTTCATTATGAAATTTGCTTTCCTTTAAGAAAAGTCTGTCAAATACGCAAAGGAAGGCTTACAGTTTTATTAATTTCAGTGAGGAGATTAAAGTTCAGCCAAGTCTGTTCAGAGAATCTGTAGATGCAATTGGAAGGATTTATGAGGAACAGAGGAAGTTAGAAGAAAGTTTCACCATTCACTTAGGTAAGTATATTAGATTCTGCAGTTGTAATTTATTATAACTTCTGAGACTGATCCTGTAAGACAAAAAGATCCCTAAAATGTGTGAAGAGTATGCACATTATTTTTCATTCCAGATTTTGCCCATATAGTTCGTTAGCTATATGTTTACTGTTATAACTTATGTTTTTAAAATAGATTAAATTATAGTAGTTCTTAAAATGGGAAGCCAATAAAGCCTATTTTAAATCATGATTTGTAGCATGGATTTACCTGGACTGTTGTCATAGAGAGGTGACTCCGGTTATACTGTGTTTTTGTATCCATTTACATATCTTCCTGGGACTGTTGCCTCTTTCACCAGGAGCCCAGCTGAAGACCATGCACAACTTGAGGTTGCTGAGGGCAGATATGCTGGACTTCTGCAAGTATAAAAGAAATCTTCGCAGTGGTGTGAAGCTCCACCGGCTCCAGACAGCGCTGTCCCTGTATTCCACATCACTCTGCGGCCTGGTCTTACTGGTGGACAATCGAATTAATTCATATAGTGGTATTAAGAGAGGTGAGCAGACGTTGTACACTCTTGTTTCATTAAATCTTGCTTTGTAATACCATTCTTATAAAGAAAGAAATTATGGAAAAACTTTATTTTTAATCACTGCAATACACAGACCTACCAATAAACATACCCAGCTATAGCTATTTTAGATTTGTTGCATATTTTAGCATTGATAGATTACTTCATGAAATTATATTTGTCTTAAAATTCGATTACATTGTATATAGTGTTCTTATAGGATCCATATTTCAGGATAAAACTAAATAACAAAGGTACAGATGTGTTTCTCAGTTTTGAAGCAGATTCTGGCTCAGTGAATTTTAGTTCCTTCATTTGTCTCTTCTTTTAATAGTCTTCTTAAATGTACGAAAGTTCTTCCTTGCCTCTTAGTATGACTCAATTTTTATGATTATTTCTGAATTTTTTAATACATAAAAAGTATTGAACTATACAGCTGCTTTTGAAAGAAGCTTGAATAGAATTAGTTTCCCTTCCTAACTATAAGAAATGTCTTATATTTTGTAGCATTTTGGGGGGTAGATTATGATCAAATCATCTGTGATTTAAGAGAAGCCTGGAATAATATTAAAATATCCTTATTTACTCTTTTGAGTGATTGAAAAGTAAGTTTCTAACCAATACAAATTTACAGTGCCCTAATTTAAAGTATGATTATTAAAAATCATAAGAAATCATACTTGTGAGTTTTACTTTCTATTTTTCCTTGACCTTGTTGTCTGTCAATAGATGCTAAATATTTGATAATTTGCATTTAGAATTTTGTCCATATCTTGGATCCCTTAGATTTTGCCACAGTTTGCCAAGAGTGCACCGACTTTCATTTCCCCCGAATTGAAGAGCAACTGGAAGTCGTTCAGCAGGTGGCGCTCTATGCCAGGACCCAGCGCAGCAGTAAGGTGAAAGACCAAGGTCGGTAGGGCTCCGCTGGTCACTGGGATGGCTGTGGGTGGTCAGTGCAGCACAGAGAATTCAACTGGTATGAGTCGGAAGAAGGAAACAAGGAACTGAATTTAAGATCTTCAGAAGGTTGAATTCTGTCGTGGTGTCCTTTTGGGATCGTTTTTCCCAGGACCTTAGAGACAGCCAGTGTTTTCCTTTGTGTGTGTGTTCATTGCTGGGGACCCCACACAAGGACTCATGCACACGAAGCAAGTGCTCTACCCTCAGCCCTGTCAAAATAACTCTTAAATCTCAGGACACAGGCTGCATTATATGGGGCTCAATTCTCACCACCTGAGATAAAAATAAAATAACATTTCAGAATTTTATCTTCAGAATGACATAAGGCATTGAAGTCATAGGGAAAAAGGAAGCATGAAACATAACGCTTTTCATATGTTCCATCTGTTCCATAAATAGCGTAACATTAATTACTTGTTTTGGGTTGTTCTTTTAAAAAACTTCTGTCCTTGAGAGCCTGCTTTTTCTATATTTATCTGTAGTGCAGAATTCTTTCCAAATACTTTGAAAATGTAGTGGAAATTTTTAAGAAAGTATTGAGGTATATTTGACAATTAAAGATGATGTGCATTTATTGTATACAATTTCATGATTCAGTGTACATATAAATCATGCGAGTTCCTTCGGGTGAATCACGCCTGTCACCTTAGACGGTGGCCACCATATGTTTTGGTGGTGAGAACACTTAACCCTCTTCACGAGTTTCATACACCTGGAAGAGCACTGTTGCACATAGATCTCCAGAAATCACTCCACTGCTGTAACTGAAACTTTGTATCCCTGACTGACACCTTACCTCTGCCAGCCCGGCTTTACCCTTCTCCTATCTGTACACGCAGCTGGTTCAGATTCCACACATGAGGGCACACAGTGCAGTAGTACCCCTTGTCTGAGGGTGTGAGTGTGCTCACAGCAAGCATATGTGTAGAATGGGTTTCTCAGGTGTTCCAGTACAGGACACATACACTCGGCGATAGCAGTTACTGACTGCAGCTGTTCTATCAGCTTGTAATCCCTCTGAGGGCATTGGGGTTTGCTGTGGCTGTTCGCCTTGTGTTGTCAGAGCCAGGCTGAGGGTTAGAAGTCAGCACAGCAGTGCATCCTCACAGGACCTTTCAGGAAATCTTAAGAATTGAATGCCCTCCTGTTCTTCAAGCATCTTCTTCCCCCATCTCATTCAAACCTACACAGTGTGCTCAGAAATGTTTTATATCACTATTGCTAGTACTTGTGACTAAGCACAAACACTGAGATCATGACGGGTGTGGAAAAGGTGGAAGAGTAGTATATTCATGCAAGATAGAAAGTATGCTGCAAATGACAGGAAGCTTTTCAGCCACACACGGTTAAGGCAGTACGTGTGGATGATGACATTTTGTTTTTGTTCAAGCAACTACTTTGTGGTTTTATATGAGGCAGTAAAGCAGGTTAATTTGTAAAAGAAAACTGTCCTAGGGCTGGGCATGGTGGCCGTTTCTGTAATCCCAGCACTCGGGAGGCTGAGGCAGGAGGATTGCCATGAGTTGGAGACCAGCCTGGGATACATAGTGAGCTGCAGGTCAGTCTCAACTACATAGTGAGACCCTGCCTCAAAAACAAAACAAAAAAAAAGAAAACTGTGTTAAACAAACCTGTGTGTTATAGAAGAGCTTTATCCAACTCTTCCATTTCACTGCACGCCTGTTACTTATTCACATCCTGTTACATAAACACCTGTTTATTCTAAAATACCCTATTGTTTCCTTTCTGTGGTTATACTCCAATATGTCTGCAGTTCGTGATAAAAACTCAAAACTTGTTCATGTGTAAGTTTTATATGTATATTTTAAAAAAATAAAATGGCATCTTAGTATTAGCACAGTATACTACTCATCAAAACATAGGGAAGGTACTGGATTATGGATGGAAACTCTCCTGCTTCCTTAATAGGATTTGTTTGTTCGTACACCCTGTGAGCAAAATCAAGGTCTTTATTTGTTGTCTTTTGCAATCTGTGCTATGATCAGACATTTATTCAAAGCCTATCAACTGCTTGGCTCTATATTAGACACAGATATTAAATACAGATTCCAGCAACAGAAGCTTCTGTTTCTGTTTGTCTCTTTATTTATAAAATATGTATTTATAAGATACTATGATATAAATCAATTCATTAGATAAAAACAAAGCTTTTACTTAAATCATTAAACCATAGTTTTTTTAGCATTTATAGTTTACTCATTTGAAGTTGTTTTCTAATTCAAAGGGTAATTGCAAAATGGTTTCTCAAATATTTTTAATTGAATTGGAATAAGAATACAGCTTCTTAAAGATAGCTACTTTGAAAACTAAATGTTCATTTTACATTTGTAACTTGCTAGAATGCCTATAAAATTCAAATATATCTTCTTTAAAATATGTGTGTGTATATAAAATAATGTATTTGGTCTTCATAATGTACATTCAATACTAATATTTCTTATTTTACCAACATTTATCTTTCTAACAAAGAAAAACTATTGAATATCTTTAAAAACTCTGTTTGAAATAGTCTTACATAGCCATTTAAAATTAATTATATAGAGTCTGGAAAGTTAAAAAATAAATTTCAGGGACAGGCTGACTGTGAAGTGATTCCTGGTCCTACTAGCCATTCATTGTAGTCCTGAATAACTTCTGTCAGCAGTATTGACTCCAATGCTAAAAATAAAGGTCGCCACACCACAGCTATAAGTGAAGTTGTTTTACGTGTAGTTAACTTACTGCCCTGCACCTCCCAGATGGAAACTAGAGTGTTGGCAAGTCTAAGTGGTTAAGGCTGTGGGATTAAGAACCTGAGTATGTGGTTCAAGGCCTGGTTTCATCTCTTATCTGTGCATTCTGGGTTGAGTTGTTTAATTTGTCTCGGCCTCTTATATATAAAATGAACATTGGGCTGGGTGTGTGGTTCAGTGGTAGAGTCCCGAGTTCAATCCTCAACACCAAACAACAAACAAAAAACCAAGGCAATAATAGTACTTACCTCAGAGTCTTGGTTATCATTTGGAGAAAATTAAGTGGGACCATAGATAGCAAGTGTGTAGCAGGATGCCTGGCTTATAAAGGCTCGCGGTAAATTTTTGCTTGATTTGAACATTGTGGTGGTGATGTGTTTTTACATGTTGTCATGTTCTTTCTTGGTGCATCATCTTATGAATAGATTCTGGGAACCAAAATGGAGCGAATGACGAGAAGACTGCTGAGAGAAACTATTTAAACATTTTACCTGGCAAGTATTACTTTCCTGTGGTCACATACATTAAAGTCATAGATTTGAAACATAAATTCTTATGTACATCATTAAATGGCTGCCAGTATGTCACTTTGAGACATTAGCGTTCATGGATTTTTTTTCCAGTGTCAATATTTTTATACTAGTAATGACTTCTAGGCCCATACATGAAAAATTGCTTAAGAAGTTGCAAGTTTATGGTTATTTGCTATTTCAGATCTCCCCACGTATGTTGTTTCTTAGCTTCTTAAGTAAATCAAGGGATCATTTTTATTCTGAAATATAAGCAGTAGCACGTAGAGAGGTGACTAGCTGAGTCTGCGGAAAGAGCATGGATCTCTGATTTGGAATCTTGCTTTCACTCCCCCATACATCCTCCTGCTTTCCATTCGTTTCATTTCTGTATTTTGTAGGATATGCAGTTAAGAACTGGAATTCGGTCTTGGGATTCCCTTTCGATTGAATTCCTTCTGATGACCCCTAGTAGCGATTGTGTGACAGGACGTGACACGCAGGGCCCTTTGTGTAACTGGTGAAGGTTGTCTTTTAAACTCAAGAGTGAATTTTAGTGCCATACGTAACCACCTCTTGAGAGTTATCTGTGCTCCTTGAAGGTAGCTTCTTCACATTTCCTTCCTCGCATATTTGATGTTTAAGTCACATTATGTTTACTTTGAGCAAATACCGCCCATTTCAGGCGCTCATCGGTCAGGCCCAGGCAGTTGGTTTGTGGTCACTGGCCTCCGAATTGCCTCCCACGTTCGGATGGCCTGCCCTGGTGGGTCATGTTAGAACACTGCATGCTGCCTCCTCCATTTGGTGGAACTGGAAGCTGTTCTCCCCTCCACCAAAACACTTCCAGTGAAGGATGTATCGTAATCCTCATCATAGACCTGTAACTTAAATCATCCATATTTTGTGTCCTTCTTATAAATGTATCAATTTCATTACTACTCTGGAGGTACCAATGAGTAGTTTTTTAAACTTAATTCTTTATTTCTGTATTTACTTCCTTCCTTGTTGTTTTCAAAAAAGTCTACAGGTTAGTATCATTTGTACAGTCAAATCAAGAGACTGTCACAAGTCGGGGTTAGAAAAGGAACGTTAAATTATTGTTAGGTGACCGAGTAGCATCTGAAGTTCCACGTAGTTAAAGAATGAATTTATGGGTAGTGAATGTATTTATGGGCGATTTTAAAAGGCTATAAATCATAAATCAATTTAAAATGTAAAGAATTTTTATACTTTTAAGTCAGTAGTAATTTACTTTCTCATGCTCTGTTTATACTTTTTCTCATCTAGTTCTGACAATAACCTGTGAGAGAAGCAGGCATTGTTTGTCCCACTTTGTGTTCAGAGGGACATAGTAAGTGGGACTGGCTTGCCCGCGATCGTCCCGCCAGTAGGTGCTTGGAGCCCGGGTAACCTTAATGTCCCTGCAGTGTCTTCTCCCCTGCCTCGCAGTGCCCGTGCCAGCACTGGCTTCCATTTTATTAATGGGTGAAGTGAGATGAAGAGGCAAGTCACTTAAGGTCGGAGAGAACAGTGCCAGATGGGATTGGGAGCGCCTGCCTCGCTCACCAGGTGGCCCTGCCAAACGCTGTAACTTCCATTGGCTGAGCTCCTGGAGGAGGCTGGAGGTTCAGGCTCCCTGGCCCTGAAGGGCAGTGTCCAGTCTCCCTGGCGAGCAGTCTGTGTCTCTCATTGCCTCATGAGAAACACGGCAGTGCTGTTCATCACCACAGTTTTCCTGACATTTTTTTATCCAGGTTTTTTCTTTTCTTTTCCTTTTTTTTTTTTTTTAATTGGCATCTCTATCCCTGTTCAGGCTTCAGTTTCTTTTTGTTTGTCCAATTCCTTTATTTCATTCAAATTTGAAAAGAATCAGGAGGAAGAGGAGAAAAAAGGCCTTTGTCTAGGGCCTTTCACACGCATCTACAGATCAGCTACACATATGTGTGATCTCCCTGTTTCTTATTGTCTGTCTTTCATTTGACTCTTTTATTTATTTATACTTTGGATTTCTCATATAACAAGCCATACGAATTTAAGCCGTGTCTGATTTGTTCCACTTAACATCATGGTCTCAAGGTGCATCAGTGTTCCTACAGATGGCTCAAGCGTACCCTTCCTTATGACAGAGCAGCTCCACTGTGTATAAACACCACATTTAAAAAACTCCGTTCCTCTGTTGATGGACACAGAGGCAGCTTCCAAGATTCAGCTGTGATGAGCCAGTGCTGCCCTAAACATGAAATGCACACATCTCTAATATGATGACTTTACCCCTTTTAGGAAGTGTCCTCGCGGGAGAATAGTTGCATGAAATGATTTCAGTTTTTTGCTTTTTGAGGAATCTTTACTGATTTCCATAGTGGTTGTACCAGTTTACGTTCCCATCAGCTTAGAAGGGTTCCTTTCTCCCTGCATCCTCACCAACATTTTTTATTATTTGATTTCTTGATGATAGCCATTCTTTCTGTGGTAAGATAGAATCTCAGTGCTTTCATTTGTATCTACTGGTGAGGGATATTGAACATTTCTTGATTGAAACTTACTTTGGGGGCTTCTGATTTTTTTAGTTCTTGATAGTTTTTAGATATTAGTCTTTTGTCTAAGGAATAGCCAACAAAAATGTTTGCCCATTGAATAGGTTGGTAGGTTTTTAATTACTGCCTTAATTTCATTGTCTTACTGGATTGCTCAAATTTTTTTTTTTCTTTTGGTACTGGGGATCAAACTCAGGACCTTGCACTTGTGAGGTAAGTGGCAGCAGCTCTGAACTAAATCCCCGGCCCTGCTCAGATATTTTTATATCTTCTTTGGATCAGTTTTAGTAACTCGGATGTATCTATGAAGCTGTCCATTTCTTCAAGAAATGTTAGAGTGTAATTTTTGATAGTAGTGGCTAATGATCCTTCTGGAGTTCGGTGGTGTCCATTGTGATTTCACCTTTTTCCACTTCTCACTGCGTTAATGTAGGTTTCTTCCCTCTTTGGTTAAGTTTGACTAAGGATTTGTCTGTTTTACTTATTCTTCCAAAGAACAACACTTCAATTCATTGATTTATTGTATTTTTTTTAGTTTCAGCTTTGTTCATTTCCACCCTGATTGCTGTGATTTCCCTCCTTGTTCTAGGTTTGGGTTTGGACCATTCTGTTCCATTTTTCTGGAATTGTATCTTTGGGTTAGTTATTTGAGCGCCCTCTGTTTTATAAACATTCATGGCTAAAAACATATTCCTTATATATTTTACTTATTTATATTGACAGAAACTATAGAAAATAAAAGCTGATGATGTTTTTCTTGGCTATTGTAGCAAATAAAGAGTCGTTGTAAGAAGCATGGATTTTACAGTTTGAGAAACAGCTCCAACATTTAGTCTAAAACAGTCATTCACTCACCAAATATCTGAGTGCCTTCTTTGTGCCAGAAATGGAACATTAAAGAGGACACACAAACTTCCTGAAGTCATGGATCACAAACAGTCATCTTTTAGGGATTATCCACAGGTGGAGGTGTTATCAAAAGATAGGTGAATGTTTCCCTTTTAGAAGGTAGACTTCACAGTGAGACACATTACTGTGAACCCCCTCAAAACATGTCCTCTCACCTTGAACACAGTTGTCCCATTATTCTTGCCACTTTCTGAAGCAGTTTTAGAAGTCTTTTATGTCTTTGTTTGGTGTGATCGAAAATGTGGTGCGTGCCCCATTGCTGAGTAGCACTGTACAGAAAGGCAGCTCGGCGGAGCGCGGCAGTGCCTTCGGCCCCCATACTCGTGTGTTGGCACCGTGCACCATCGGGCTCTTCTCCACAAGCCAAGTATCCATAAAAGGTAAACATTTGGAATCAGCTGCCACAGTACAACTAAAGGCGCTCCAAAGCAGAACTTCTAGAACTGCTTCAGAAAGTGGCAGGATCAAGGGGATGGAAAGGGTCTTCAAAGCCGGGGAGGATTTTGTGGGGATTCATAGCAATGTGCTTTTTTATTGTAATAAATTTTTTATTTATTTTTTTTGTTTGTTTTTTTTTTGAGACAGGGTCTCACTATGTAGTTGAGACTGACCTGGAACTCACTATGTAGCCCAGGCTGGTCTCGAACTCACAGAGATCCTCCTACCTCAGCCTCCCGAGTGCTGGGATTACAGGCGTGCACCACCACGCCCGGCTGTAATAAATTTTTTAAAAAATCAAACATTCACCATACTTTTCAGTCACATCTCATGCGAATGAAAGAACTTCAGTGGTAAGAGTGAAATAAAGCAGAGTGTTGTGAGAGAGAATGAGTGTGTGGGGGTCCTGTCGGATGGATGGCCAAGGAAGAACTTTCTGAAGCGGTGATGTTTGATCCGAGCCGTGACTGATGAGGTCAGCCCGGCGAGGATCTTGGAGAGAAGCCTTCCGGGGAGCAGCCCTGATTTGGGAAAGCTCTCTATGTTTGAAGAGAGACCGGAACAGAAGCTGTGTGGCTAGAGCGAAGGAGAGAGGGTGGGGTAAGGGGATACTGCAGAGGTGGGCTGGAACATGCGGGCCAGAGCATGTAGGCCTGGTGGGCTTTTTCCTAAGGGTAGTGTGAGCCTGTTGAACGATTTTAGTAGAGAAGTGATATAACCTCAATTGCATTTGGCCCATTTTGGCCCACAGTGAAGAAATTGTAGTTGGGTAAGAGTAGGGGCAAAGGAATAAGTTAAGAGAATATTGCAAAATCTGGGTGAGACACAGAAGCAACATGAAGTAGGGTAATAGCAGTACATGCAGGTGGCTCAGACTTGAGATTGTTTTAGAAATAGAACTGAAAATAGTAATGGGTGGTGGAATAAGCGTTGAAGGCAAGGAAGAAATGAAGGCCTCCCCGTGTTTCTCTTTTGCTACCGGGGATCGAACTTGGGCCCTTGGGCTTGCAAGGCAGGCGGTGGAACCACTGAGCTAAATCCCACCCCCGTGTTTCTGACCTGACCTCAGCAACCCATGACAGAGATTGGTCCCATAGATGGATGAGGGATGTGGGAGGGCAGGTGGCCAGGTAGTAAGTTTGGGGTCATAAGCATTCATGCTGGCTTGATTTACCTAACGCTTGGGGTCGCTGCATGCCAGTTTGACTTCTGGAAAAATAGCTGTTGTCGGTTGTTTTCATTGCCTTCTCCCCAAGCACTGCTGAGTGAGATGAGTCCCTGACACCTGCTTCCCGGTGCAGCGCACTGACTGCCTGTTGCTATTGTCTTTAAGTGAGCGTGATGTACACGTTTGCCATGTGATGGTGTTCTTTGTTCACAGGAGAGTTTTACATAACACGCCACTCCAACCTCTCAGAGATCCACGTCGCTTTCCATCTTTGTGCGGATGACAGTGTGAAATCAGGGAGCATCACTGCTCGGGACCCTGCCATCATGGGCCTCCGGAACATCCTCAAAGTCTGCTGCACTCACGACATCACGACAATCAGCATTCCTCTCTTGCTGGTACACGACATGTCAGAGGTACAAGGGGCAGTGTCCCGTTGTTTTATGAGTATGTTGCACATTCCTATTCTTTAACGATCCACTTTAACTTTTTTAACACCCCCTGCTTAGATGAACGGAATTTGCCCCTCTTGTTGGTTAATAGAATTGAGCAACATGAATAGATGGGTATGGTGCTGCACACCTGTGATCCCAGCACTCAGGAGGCTGAGACAGGAGGATTGTCTCAAACCTACATAGCGAAACCCTGTCTCCAAAAAAACACAGTGAATAATCCTTAACCACTCATCTTTAGAGAATTATAGCATTGTCCTTTACCAAAGTAATCAAGAAATCCAAATTAGTCTTTAGCTTTGGGTGACATGTCTACCTTCCTCCTCTTCCACCCCTCCAGCTCTTCCTCTGCCATCTTCAGCTAGTGCAGCATTTATGTCTACATTCGTGCTTAGCTTAGGCTAACATTAAGGTGCATTTGTATTTTCTGAGTGGGGCTTAATTAGTGAAGAAAACCAATGCTAGATGACGGGAGGAGGCCAGCTGGTGTAACGTCTGCTCAAGGGTGTTTTCAAGATAATGCAGTTTCTGACTTATGCAGTTGCGTGTGGCCTACTCAACTCCACCCTGTTATGCTCTGCAGTTTACTTCATATTTCTAAGTCTTTTTCAAGGACTCTTACCCTTTTTCAAAGTAAAAAAAACCCCAAGCCCTGGGTAAATGCTATATCGTACAGGGTTAGTATAGAAGATTTTATGTTTTACATTTTAGGTTAGGCCCATATACATCATTATATTATAAGAACACTCATGTTAAATTCGGTACCCAGTCGGTTCCTACTGAGACAGGACAATTTCATATTATTTCTCGCTTGCAACCTGGTCGGGTGACTTTGCTGGACAAATTGCTATTTGGATTAGAATCTGGAGCCACCCTTCCCTCGTCCTCCACTCCACTCGCTTCTGAGGACTCACCATACCCAGCAGCATCAGGAGAAATGGGCAAACATGTTATTCAGTCTTGTTTCCACTGTACCTTTAGAGTTTTCACTCCATCGGAAATGTTAGCTGCTGTGAAGGTATCATCGCCACTGGTCCATCTATAAAAGGGTGTTGGGGAACGTCGACATTTATGCTGGATTCCTGCCACAAGGAGAGATCCCCACGTTCTTGCAGCTGTGATCCTGGTCAGCCAGTTTATAAAAATGGTCCTCTGTAGGTGGGAAACAACCTCAAAGGCAGTGTTTCCAAAGTCACTGGGTTCAGATTTGCTTCCAGACATCTGATACTACTAGCATTCCCTCTCCCACAGTGTCACAAAAGTTCCACGTTTTAAATAGGGACGGCCAGCTGCAGAGCATTAAGTTTGTTTTGGAAGTATCCAATTTAATTCACAAAAGTATATTGAGCTCTGATCCTCCCATTTGTTGTATTTTAACATCTGTACAAGGTCAAGAAGTTTACCCTACAAACTCAGATGACATTGCGCAGGATGTAGAGGTAAAGTGTGTTTTAGGCTTTGTGAATAGTCCCACAGCATTTGCAGGTGTTTTTTTCCTCCTCAGACAGTTTCTAGACACAGTTCTCCCTGTTAGTATGTACAACATCTGGTTGGTAAAAGAGTTGTGGAATTACTTGTAGCTAAGAAGAAAAGGCAAAAACAACCTGTGAGCAAGGAGGAAGACATGCCGGTTTATCTCTGTGGGTCTTTGTGATATGAAGTCACTGCTGTGTTGGAATTGGTCCCACCTGAGAGATAAATGAATCTGCCAATCGAGAGTCCTGAGTCCCTTATTCGTTTATGTGAATCTGTGGGATAACTTGGAGCTCAGGGATCTCAGTTTTATAGTTGTTATTAATGAAATTGTCTATTTTTAATTGGCATACAATCCATTGTTGAAAAGTACACGTAAGTATTTGACTCAGATTTGCACGACCTGAACACCTGTGTCCCCAGCACCCTGATCATGGAGCAGAGCCCCAGAAGCCAGCTTGTGCTCTTCCACTTTGTCCATAAGGGTGACCCCGAGTTCCACCTCAGAAGGGCACGGTTTTGTCAATGACCTTGCATCTGTCTTCTTTCATTTGTGTCTGTTTGTGAGATAGAGCCGTGTTGGTATTGTGGGAGTGACGTGTTATTCCTTTGTCGTATATTATCACACCATGTGAATCACAATTATTTAACCTTCTTACTATTTATGGACATTTGATAGTTTCTAAACTTTGGTTGTTGTGATGTAGCAGTGTGGACATTCTTGTACACATCTGTTGGCATTTCTGCTGGGATGTACTTTGCAGTGGAATTCTTAGGTCTCAGGGTGGTGTATGTTTAGCTTTAGTGGAGACAGCCAGATTGTTTTCTGAAGTGACTGAAAATACAGTGTTGTTTTTCAATTTGAAAAATAAGAAACAAAGCCACCTTTGATATCACCTTCTCATAAAGGCTGTGAAACAGAGGCACATACATGAGAAGTGAAGGATGATCTTACAGTCTTCCCTGCTGGTGCATAAATACAGAAAATAATTCTTATGCCTAACCCCTAAGACATAACAGTAAAGACCACAATACCAACTAACCCCACAGTTCAGTCTGCCTGACGTGAACATTCAGGTTGAATGGTCAACACACAGCCACTAACTTTGGCTAGAACACAGTATCGCAATTGTAATCAGAAGTGAGATTCTAGTTTCCATTTTCCATTTTAAAATCTGCACTGTGTACAGTGCCCGTGTATCATTTAAAGTATAGCATTGGGCCCCAATTTTCTGCCTCAGTTCCAAAATCGAGTCATGTAAGGCCCAGCTAGCGTCTTTATCGATGGGTGTTTTTCATGGCACATTCCCTTAGACGTATTGTGATGATGTTGTCACTTTGCCATTACTTAGCTGTGTCTTCTCATGAACTTATTGACTTCTGACGCTTAGTTTACTTCTTCTAAATACCCGAAGTCATATTTACTTTTAACAGGGTGCTTTTAATCAGAGCCAAAATAATAGAATAAAAACACTGGCAAGCATCTGCCTTAATCTCAGGATAGGGTCTGTGTGTGTGTGTGTGTGTATGTGTAGCTATCTTGTTTCCTTCAGAGTCATATGTTACAAGGCAGCACTGAATTAAAGTGTGTCCCCTGATTAATTGGTACTTGGAGACTTGGAGTGTAGCTATCACTTCCAGGCTGTGTAGGGCCCTGCTATGAATTGGTATTTAGGATGCTCTCCTAATAGCACTGGTGAAACTTTGTCATTAACTCACATCATTCTGACGACTGTGAATTAGTTTGTCTCATAGACACTGCTGTGTTAACCACTGACATACAAAAAACCATGGCCTTAATGGATAAAAGGTGGTGATCACTGGGTAAATGGACAATCCAAGTACTGTTTCCCCCATCTACTTAATTAGAAGATTCATCGAGTCTTGTAGCTGCAGACTTGAGTATTTTTTTCTATATGCCTTCTCCACTCTAACTTGTGCTGCAGTCTTTCATCGTCGCTGGTATCACCCTAATTTAATGTTAGTGTGGTCTGTATTTTATGTGTTCAGGGCTGGTCCCAGAGCTCTGTGCTGCATCACTTGTCCTCTGTGAATAGTGGTGCTTAGATTTGACCTCAGCCTGAACTAACTCAAAGGCCAGTCAAAGGTGTCAGTAGATTGCTCTGGATTGTAAGACGTGTCCCTGTGGGCAATAACATACATATGCATATGTGTGTGTGCTCCATTAAAATTCTGCAAGTTGCAATAACGCTTTGACTCTGGTTATTACTATTTCCAAAAACAGGTTTGAGAGTTAATATTTTAAAGTACTATAACTACTGTTGCACTTTAGTATTTATTCCTACAGATGATTCTTGAATAAAATATTTAACGTAAGTGAAAGATAAGTAGACCCTTAAGGAAATAAGTCACAGTAAATGAGAACCAGCAGAAACAACCAGTCATGCAAACAGATACACAAAGACTCAACGGGCTGGGATTTAGCTCAGCGGTTCGGTGGCCTACCTTGCAAGCGCAAGGACCCGAGTTCAATCCCTGGTACCAAAAAAAAAAAAAAAAAGACTCGAGGTACCAGAATTATGAGACACATACCATGAAATAATTGATTACCATGTTTAAAGAATATATTATTCTTCTTACTAAATTTTTTTTGTATTGGGAAAGTTATTTTTAAATTAAGATGTCATTTATATTACTATGTGACTGGCTTACCCTTGTTGTTTTTCAATGTTTTTCTGTTTTTTAGTTTTAATTCTGATGGAGTAAATACCACAAAAAACAATCCACATAAATAAAAGCTCACTGGAGTCCTCAGAAATCCTTAGACCCAAAAAGCTGGGGAGTCGTCATAATGAAATAATAAACATATCTTATGGGTATAATTATGGGGAGTTTTACTGTGGGATAATAATTTTGGTGATGCTAAAAAGAATCTAAAATAGCATACTCAGTAATCATACTATGAAAAATTATAAACTATTTGTAGTCTAACCTCTCTGTGCACTTGGCTGAAGATAAGAAGGGAGCATAGTAAAATGAGAGTGTTTGGATTTTTTAGGTAGTAAAGATGACGTTCTTATTCTATTAATTTTGTTACAACATATTGTACAGTGAAAACATCTTATGTATTTCATTGCTTATGCAAGTATTGTGTGACTTCAGAGAATCATTCCTGCTGACTTGGAGAATGATGCATGGGTTAGCAGCTCCACTTACAGTTAGTTGTCTTTAAAATTAATCATCTGAAGGTTATAGAGCTGTGTTTGTGCATTTTATGATGTTTCATAGGCTTGTTTCGTTTGCATTTGTCAAGCATAGACTAACAGCCAGAAGTTGTACATCTGAAAACTGAGGGAAATCCAGTTGGAATTAGCACATAGCTCTGTTCACAGCATGAGGCAGTCGGCAGTAGAGACAAGTACAGGTACAGTTTTTCTTTTCACAAAATTCTGCTAAAACTGTGGTTTGTTTTGTTTCTGTGTTTAGGAAATGACTATCCCCTGGTGCTTACGAAGAGCAGAGCTGGTGTTCAAGTGTGTCAAAGGTGTGCACAACCTTGTATCTAAGAGCCGCCCCCTTTCCTTCCTCCCCATGGCTGAGAACAGAACAGCCCAAAAGGAAGAATGTGAAAGTTACCTGCGTCATGAGGTGGAGGTGGGGGCTCAGTCAGTTAATCAGATACTTCGTAGCAGACTCTGAGTATATCCTGTCCAGTCACAAAAGCAAGTCTTCAGCCTTCCTGAAGGGCAAGGGTATTTGGATGTTATTTGTACTTTGCTCTGATTTTTATTGCTCTGTTGCTTTTTATTTTTTTAGAAGTAGAAAATGGAGACATATTTCCACTAACATTTAATAATCTGTTTTAGCTTCATTTTTTGAAGACCAACTAGGATTTGAGAAATCTTAAGTAAGAGAGTGTCAATAAAACTTTGTAGGGGGAAAAAAACCATGTGAAAATTTTGGCCTAAAAAGTTAGGAGTTGTAAGAGTTGGGTCCCTCAGGCTTAGCTTTGCCCACATGCAAGGGACTACCTCAGAGTTGAGACATAAGGCCCCATGATGCAAATACAGCCTCTCTCAGAAGCAGCTGGGCTATCGGAAGTCCAGAACTCATCCTGCAGCAAGCGTGTTGTTCTGTTTCAGGTTTCATGATGGAAATGGCCTCATGGGACGGAGGAATTTCTAGGACAGTACAATTCCTGGTGCCGCAGGTGTGTTGCCTGGATAGACCGTATCCCAGTTTAATCTCTTACAATATTCCTTCATACCGCCCTACTCCTGAATATCATCACATAAAGTGTCAGTGGCGTCTTATTTTATAAGGAGAGTGGTATTTGGATGCTTTAAAGGCACTGACTTTATTGTGAGAAATGTCGGTGTCTGCCACTAGGGAATCTTTTATTTAATCCCCAGACCAGATAACGCATCTTCCCTCTGTTTCCACATTTGTTATATATTGATAATTAAGTGTTCCTAAGAAGGGCATTTGCAGAAAAGGATTCTGTATTCTGTACAGAATTTAGCCGAATTAGTGGTATTTATTACTAATCACACTAGTATTACCTAGGGGCTTCCTACCGATCAGATTTAGGTCAGAGGAATGAGCCAGAAAATAACCCAGATCATTTGCCACATAGGCAAATTAGTCGTGAAAGAGAATTTTCACATATTGTAACCCATATCTAGAATGAGATCCATTTTTAAAATCCTTATGAATTTTTAAAAAATTAATGAAGATGTAACAAGTACGGAATTTCTTTTTCCCTCTTGCAGAGTATTTCTGAAGAAATGTTTTATCAACTTAGTAACATGCTCCCCCAGATCTTCCGAGTGTCTTCGACACTCACTCTGACGTCCAAGCACTGACCCGTGGAGACTGACACTGGCAGAGGAGGAGTGACAAGCTCTCCAGGAACTTGAGCCATGCTGGAGTCCTGTCAACAAAAGGTGCCCAGAAAGAGAATCTGCATCCTAAGCCACACGTCAGTCATGATCTGTGCCGGTTAAACATCCCAGAAATGCATACGCCGAGCTCACTGGCACTGCCCAGGCCCCTGCAGTGCTTTTCGTAAGCTCTTCCCAAAGTCTGTCTTCCTCCTTGTACTGTCAGCAAATGCTGGTGAGCGAAAGCGTCCTCTTCGTCACGTGTGGACCCTTGCTATAGGATTCTGTTCACTGCGTTTTCATCAACTTTTCCAAAAGGCTTGAATCATAGACCAGGTACAGACCTTTTTTAAGCATGCAAATAATAAAATCTGCCACCACTTTGCCAAATCAAAATTAAAAAGCATAGAAATAATCTGCAGGTATGAGTTTCTCGTGAAAATCCTTTTGTCGAAACAAGTGAATGAAAAAATATGCTCATTCTTCCCTGCTCTGCTTCAAACCCTCACTCTTCATCTACTCTTTCTAAGCTTGTATAAGCTAGAGTCAGGAAAGGCCTGGGATTCTTTACCACAGTCTCATCTTCCTTCAGTGACCTTGCCCTGGTCTATTAATAACACCCGCAGACCGGGGAATAGCGTGCTTTTTTGCCAGCCTGATGTAAAGTTAGCCTAAACCAGCAGCTGGCAGTATGCTGGTGCCTGGCGACATTGTGACAGTCACACAGCTGGGATTTCTCAGTCCCCTTCCTGCTTTCTCGGTTTCCCCTTGTATTTCTCTGTAGATGACTCTCCCCATTCCTCTCCCTGCTCTGTTTCCCCCTTTCCATTGTCTTCCTGTGATCTTTCTCCTGTGTGATGTATCATTTATTTATCCCACCTACAGCATCTTTGCCATAAATACTAACTGTGCTAAACAGAAGCACACAGACAGTCACAAAGGCAGTGCTTTCATCACATAGTAGGGTGGATATTGCAGCTGTCTAGTAGAGTGAGTAGAGCGTCTTCTGTGTCACGAGGAAGAGGCACATCTCAATCACAAGAAACAGTAGCATGCCTCATATAGCTGAACGTAAGAGATACCTCCAACTCGAAGGAAAACCCTAAGCAGGGCACCCATCCTAGCAGTGTGGCTTTTAGACACTAAAACTTTCCAAGTTCTTTGTCAGGGAGTCTGGTGGTTCCACCAGGAAGGTAGGTGTTTTGCCTTTAGTGCCTACACCTTGGAGAAACTATCTTCTAGGTGCCTCTGTTCTCTTGGAGATTGATTCTGTTGCAGAGTAGGGTAGACAGAGGCAAAAAAAGCCTGACAGATCATTTTAATTTTCAAATTAACAGATCAGTTGGAGCTGGGTGGAGGTGAGTATAGTAGGGTTAATAACACTAGGAAAGAAGCCTTGAAAGTCATTCCACAGAATTCTGTAGCTGGTCTAAGAGACGTACAGTCAAGCGCACCCTGGTTTCAGGGTGCAGAAGCAAAGGTCTATTCAAGGAAATTGGATACATGCCACTGACTGACTCCTTTATCACCATTGATGGCTTTACCCCAAGGGCAGGTGAAGATACTATGAGCCTGTGAAATCAAGATAAATTTGTATCTATTTTAAACAGAGTATTACAAGATATACAGGAGCAGCAAGATCAGGAAAAGCATGCTTGTCACCACTGAAAACAACACTGAACCGATTAACAAATATACCACTTTGAATACCAATTATGTGCACTTAAATAGTAGGGATTTTAGCAGTTCAGTAATTAAGGAAATCCGGTTTTTTATTTAGTCCAGGAAGGATGACTGTGAACTTCTGAGTGTCCTAGAGGGCTCTTAGAGTACGATGATTTCAGGCACTTTATGAAGGTGTAGAGTTCACTTTCTGTTGCTGTGACACCTACAGTAATCATACAAAAAAGGTCTGTTTCGGCTTACAGTTTCAGTGTTCAGTGCATGGTCGCTTGACCCTGTGGCTTTAGGCTGTAGCATCACAGTACAATGTGGTGGGAGTGTGTGGCAGAGGATGCCTGTTCATCTCATGGCACCCAGCAAACAGTGACCAGAAGGGGTGGGGTCCCGGTACCCGAGGGATCTGACTGCCTCTCAGCAGGCCTCAGTCTTCATGGTTTTACCGCCTCCCAACAAGACTGGCAGCCAAGCCTTTCATCCACTGGCCTGCGCAGGCCCTTCCAGGTCCACGCACAGAGGATGAGAAGAGGGGCACTGAAGCATTGTAGGTATGGGGTGCAGCCTGGAGCAGTGACAAATGACGAAGGTGGAGTGAAGGTAACCCCTAAGGCTGGGGGCCAGCAGTTGCTTAACAACAGCGACCAGCAGTTTTCTGTCTAAACAGTAGAGTGCCCGAAACCTGACAGCGAGGTCTTCAAAGCCTTAAAAAAGTGTCGAGCAGGAGAGGTGAACCTGAAGCTGCTGTTCTGTGCTGCTTTCTCCTTCCCTCCACTCTCAGAGCTCCACGCCAAGCGAGGCTGTCACCTTGCCATTGCCGTTGAGCTGGCAGCGCGACTCCCGCTGTGCTCGGCATGGCAGTGGGATGGCAGTGGAAGGAGAGACGCTTGCCTGCGAGTTGGCGGATCTCTGCTGGGACAGCGCGGACATCGCTGTCATCTGGACCCAGCTGTGCTCACGAGAAGGGAAAGCTTTAAGGGCAAACGGCCCCCAGAGCCTTCGTGTTCTAGAGGGCAAAGCAGAGAAGCCACGGATCTGGGAGAGAGCAGCAAAGCTGCTGTGGCGGAGCCTCGGATGGTTTCAGTTTTGAGGTGGAAATGGTTGCTTTTCCGTGCTGTATTTCCCCATTTTGATGGAATTAGACTGCTTTGCTCAAAAGACAGCAGCATAAAAATTATCATACTTAGGGGCATATTTTACCACATCTATTTGCAAAAATACCATATTTTTAGAACCACATAGTGATTTCCTGCCCTTTAACCAGCCAGGAACATTTTCGTCAGCTTCCCCATATTTGTAAGAAATGTCCTGAAAACTTCAAATTGAATTCACTTGAGCAATCTGGTTTTTATTCATGAAAGATGCAGATGAGGTTCTGTTTAGCAAGAGATTTAGCAAAGCTGTCTTGCTGATGTGTTCACTGTGGCTTGTTACATTGGGCACATTACCTAACCCTCCTGAGCATGTTTTCTCATCTGTAAGCTAGGAAAAAATTAATAATAGTATTTACCTCATTGAGTAGTTGGGAGGATTAAATAAGAAAGTACACACTACCTGGCATATCGTCATTCTATAAATATTTGCTGCTATTATCCCTCCTTACTGCATTCCTTCCTGTATCCCTTTCCTTCCTCTCTTCCTTCCTGTCTGACATTTCTCCTTTGCTTCCTCCCTCTCACTAGATAGTAGCAAGGAGCTCATGGCCAGTTGAGTTAGTAAAAGAACACAAGGTAACTCACAGTACTAGCCAACATATGCCCAGGGTACACAGTCAGAGAGAGCAGAGCATGGACAGTGCTGTGGAAGTCAAAGTAGGAAATACCGTCAATACACTGGGCTAGAAGAGATGCTGAGTCCATTGGGCACAGCCGGTTTAGCCCTGCCCCCCACTGGCCTTGGGTGTGTCCTCTACAGCCCTTGCCACACTCAGCAGGTCAAGCACAAATCCTCCTGGCAGACACATGGAATGCCACCTGTGCCACTAGTGGAAACAACTTCAGATACAAAGGACTGGACAGGTTAGAATGTCAGAGGAAGTCACAGGGTAGGTGGCTAGCCGTGTATTTGAGTGCAACAGGAAGGACCAAGATTTTTACCAAGTGAATCTAGATTTCAGACATAACAATAATATGAAGTCATTATAGAATTTAGGCTACTACCCACATGGCAGCCACAATGAAAAAGTGCTTTGAAAAGTGTAGTGCTTTCCTGGTTGCCTCACAACTGTTGTTGGTGGGATGGATGTTTCCGGTCTTACAGATGACCAAGCAGAGCGTGTATGTTAAATGCTAGGAGGGAATAGGAGGGTGTCCTGGGCTGAGAGAAGAGAATTATAACACAGAAGTCCCTGATTTACCTGGTCTCCTTTGTGTGCATGGCAGGGGTGAGCAGGGAGGGGCGACAGCAAGTACCCTTCTTTGTTCTTTTGGGAAAAAAAAACACCTTGGCTATCACAGTGAGTGAAGCACATTTTCTATCTGAGCTTTATTTGATTGTAAAATACTTCAAACGTGCAGAAAAGTTGGGAGAATGCTCATGTACCTACTCGTATGTGTTAAATCCTAACATTTTGCCATATTGGCCTTTGCTGTAGGTTTTCATTTTGTTTTGCAGTGCTGGGGACTGAACCCACGGCCTGGCACATGCTAAACAAGACCACTAGCACTCAGCTACACCCTTACAACTCTCTCTCTTTAAAAAACATAAAACATCACAAATACAGGTGAACCATTCCCCTGCTCCTCCCTAGCTCTGTTCTCCCTCCTTGTATCAGCTAATTCTAAGCAACAAACTGCCCCCAAGTTAGTGGCTGAAACAAAAAACATTTATTCTCCAGGATTCTGAGTCCTCGGCAGTGCTGCTGTCGCCTGGGCTCATTTGTGAGTCATCAGAGGACTATGACTCAAATTCACAGCTCCAACGATCTGGCCTGTAAAATTTTTAACTAATCAAAGAGAGCTTTGACTACAGCCTTCTTATCAACACTTTCTTGGAAAAACAGAAGGAAATGATCAGTGTTAAAAGGAATAACTGCCAGTTTAAAATTTCTTACCAAACTAAGCTGTCATTCAGCTCCTACCTGTCATCTCCATTACTAACTAGCAGACATACTATTTATCTCTCTGGATATTAGTTTGTCTATAAACTATGAGTAGTATTTTTTCCTTCTCTACTCCATAGAACCATGAAAATAAAGGAAGAATGGTCCACAAATTATGAAGTTACAGAAAGAAGTTTGAATTTTAGTCCTGAAAACAGGTGTATTTGAATATGAGAATCTCTATATCTTCTTGAGGATGAGGAAGGGCATGGGTGGGCACATATGTGGAAGGAAGCAAGAATGGACTTATGCATTAGAGAAACACTCATTGAGCATCTGTTGTGTGCCATGCCAGAAACATTGCTTAATGATGAACAAGACAGCCTAGAAACATTGACAGATATGATCCATCCCCTACTTAATAAACAAATACATACTTATCAATTATAAGGGATCCTTTGAGAAAATAAGATAAATATAATTGATACGAGGACAAGGTGAAATCTTTAAGAGAAAATGACATTTAATCTAAGACCTAAAAACTTAGTAGGAACCAGCCAGATGAAGAGTAGAAGAGGCTTCACCTAGCTGAGAAAAAAAAGTAACAGCAACAAACAACAATGGAGCAGCCATGGGGTATACCTGGCAGGAGAGGGAGCACTGAAGCCCCAGGTTTCTGACTAGACGACAATGGGAGGCAATGGTGAAATGTACCAGGGATG